TGAAAAGTGCCTTGGGGGGTTTTAAACAAGTAACTCTGTTTTACGAACAAAAATAAATGAGTTCAGTAGGTATGAAATCTCCTATTAGAAATAAAACTGTCTTTTTCAGCAGCTGTGAATTATTTCCAGCTTTTCCTAGACTTTTGGTATTTATCCTTTGTAGCGGGTATCTTTAAAAGACATTACTTGTATACTGAAAGCGAAAAATGAAAATACCAGTGGCTTCCAGGATTACACAATAAATGACAGCAAACAAACCCATCGTGGCAGAGATGTTTGGTGCATGCTTGTCTTTGATGTCTGTCTGCTGATGGCAGTGGACTTCTGCTGGGAATAAACTTGACTTGTGATTTTGGGTGTAGAAATACAAGATTTCAGCTGTGGAAGTAGCGTTGATGAGCAAGCTTCATCATGAGGATGCTCTTTAAACTTCTGGAATATGCCCACCTTGTATGCATCAGATTTGTCTATTATTATCTTAAGCCCTTTTGGTAAAATGGGGACTCATCAATGACTGAATGAGATTCTTTGTAGGCAGGCTACAGGGAGCAAGTCACAAATTAAAACTTTGAAGTTCTGCAGTAAGTTACTTAATACTACTACCTTAGTACTTGGGAATGCATAAAAGATTAAAAAAAAGGTCTTCTACGGGGAAAGAGTTTGGTTTTTTTGGACCAAAATCAGTAATTACACTCCCATAATGACTCCTCTGGTGCAGATGCAGAAGCAATAGATGAAGAGGAAGAAATTAGGCATACAGTAATCACAGCATGGCTAACTCAGCTGTACATTAGCACAAGAACTAATGCAGTGGCTCCTGGAAGCAATTTACTCATAGCAGTGAGGCGCACAGCTCCTGGTATGTTTTTCCATTAGAATGCATAATGCTTCATTTTTAACACTTCTCTGTTCTGAGTGAATTCCATCACAGCAGTGGCTTCTGGCTGTTGGCTGTAGAAGGCGGGGGTGAGGGAGGATCCAAAGGGGTTCAAGTACGGACAGCATGACTTCAGCAGAATAACATTGGGCCCATGTTCCCTCGTTACTGTAGCTTGTTTCAGAGAGTGATACTTTGGTCAAGTTACTGCTTGCTCTTGTAGTGGAAGTGGAACTTTTTTCAACAACATTGTTTTTGGAGAATGAGCCTCCTTTGGGACATCCACCTTGGCACAACTAAATTTAAAAAAAGATAAAATAAGAATAAAAAATCATTATATGGGGGCCTGTAGGAGCAACCTTCGTTGTCTATGACAATGGAAAAGGGCAGACTGCTCTTGATTCTGAGCTTCATCTCAGCGGTGTTCTGTGGAATATTCAGGGCTGGAGAGCAACTCCTTTAGATGAGGAGGTGTCCTCTCACCATGTGTTTTTATGTCTGAGAAGTATTTTCCCATGGAGTTAAACACACTGCCTATCGCATCCCCTTTCTTGCTCCAGATCTTGAGTTTCTATTTAGGGATTAAAACAGTCTATACAGAATTGTCCTGGAGTTTGGCTAAATGGGGTACAATTTACACATAGCATATTGTGTGGTACAGATTTGTACTTGCACAGGAGTATAAAAATAAGTTGTACCATTGCCAGTTTGAGTCTTCCTATTAAGCTGGTACATCTGACTCTTATCTTCTGTCTTGTTTTGAATCAGAAACAGATACCCAAGGATGTGGCCAACATTTTTAATGCCCCCAGTGACAATGAAGATTTTCCAGGGTTCCAAGATGATGCTTCTGGACAGAACTTGTTGTCAGAGAACAGCTATGCTAGTTTTGATTCCCTGGAGTCTGGAAAAAAGGTAGGAACTGATTACCATGGTCCAGTTATGCACTTTGGGTGCAGTAGTACTCTGAGCCTGTGTCAAAGCTATGTGAACCCTAACTCACACAACAACCCATAATTTGCAGTTCTCATGTTTTAAAAGAAATGTAAACAAACTTGCTATCCTTTTTAGGATTTAATGATGGCTTTTGAAAACGTCATAATATAAAAAAGAAAATGGGTTTCATTAGAAGGTGAGTTTATAGTGAAAGAGGTAGGTGTAGCAAACAGGAAAGAGAGAATTACCATCATGGGCTGGTGTGCTCTGGATACCTAAGGCAGTGGAAATGCATGAATACTGGATGGCCATTTGTGAGTATGCAGACTTCAAGATATTTCTTCCAGAAATTTATCTTGGTGCTGTTTCTGTGCCTAATCATATTTTCATAGTGGTGACCCACAGAAACTATCAGCTTCTGCTGTGATGGTGTGATTTACTGGTTCTCTGCTCTCTTGATGGTGAAGTAGCTTGGATCAGCATAAGGATTTGATATTTTTCCTTCTCTGATTTGGTAGCTGAAGGTAGCAGCTGAATTCACAAGAAAGGAATACAACTGGTGTGCTGTCTTGTCTGCACAAAAATTAAGTTTTTAGTCTTTTAGAATCTTATATATTTGATAGTCATGGGGTTAACGTGTTATTAGATACCTTTGTCATTTGTGCTCTCAAAAAGGTTCCTGTGATTAATAAGAAAATTAAAAATGTCTTTTCCTAGGCCATCAGGTCAGTAATTGGTTAAGAGGTGCTGATGGCAAGGAAGATGATTAGGGTTAGCAAATGGAACAGACAGAACAAGGCTTGTAAGAGTATGTACTGTTTCTGGTCCTTTATAGGCCTTTTAGGGGAAGAGCCAGAGTCTTTGTGTGTGGAGAAAGATGATGGCTAAAATGTGGTGAAATATACTGGGTCCAAAATCTTGTTGCTAGACAGCAGTACTGATAACTTCATAAAACCAGGAGGTAGCTTACTCTTGTATTTATGGCTTTGTGTGGAGCATCAAGAAGGATCACTGGGGAGAGGTGGTGGTGGTGGTGGTGGTGGAGGGGAAGCCTTGTCTGGGAGCCTGAACTTCCACTGCCTGCCTGGGGGCTGTGGACACCTTACTTTACTTCTCTCTCCTTTGGTTTCCCAACTTGTGAAATGGAGATTATTATAATGGTCTTTGCTGAAAAACATTTTAAAATCCTCTGATAAAAAATGCTACTGCTACTTTAACATGTATTACTGAGAATTCCAGTGAGACTTGTTCCAAATTTACAGCTGGCACTGCAGCCTCCTTCCTTACCATGCCTGTGTTTCCCTTGGGCTGAGAATTACTTTAAATGTCCATCAGTATTGAGTTTAACTCCTTTAGCACTAAATGCTATCATAAAAATATCCTGAGTTCCATCCAATTGCAACATAATCTGCAGTCCTTGTGCATGAGGGCCCTGCATCAGGATGAGCATCATTTGGAGTTTATGATGCCAGGCACCACTGGTGCTGCAAAAGACTATAGGTACCTGTGCAAGAAACAAAAAGGTTTTGGAGTGAGGGGCAAAATGATGGGAAGCTCAGAAAAATTCTGCGACTGTTGGGAGAGGAGGCAAGGTAGCCGCCCTGCTGAGGTGATGAGTGGAATGTCAGTGCATCAGGTGTTCCCTTGGATCTAATGCATAAATGAGTTAACAAGTAATGATCTCTGTGTGCCTGCTTTTCCTCAGAGATTTCTGCAGTCCTGCTCCCATAATCTCTGCATTTCTGCTGAGCTTCCACCATTTCTTCTATAGGTATCCCTGCTGTGTATTTTACTTTGTGTAGCCTGTTCTTCATAGATTCAACAACATAGCTCTATGTGTGTTATTTTTAGTTACTTTAGCTAACAAACAGCATATTCCCCCCCCACAAACTTCATTGTGGAATTTTGTGAAAACACAGAATGCATAAAAACATCAGTTTCCCTTCGATAAATGTAATTCAACTTTTAAGTAACTTCCCTATTGTGTTTGTTCCTTTCTCAAGCAGCTGCACTGCAGCTATCAACAACAAAAGAATGAAGTAATTTTGCTCAGAGAAAACTCATTCCAATTACCCATAATAATTTGTAGATGTTTTAAGTGTAAAGAAAGAATATATGCAGTAGCTCCCCCCTGCCCAATCCCCTCTAAGTTTTTCCACTCATTTATTGTATCCGTTTTTCACCAGATATTAATGTAAAGAAGTGTGTAATTGAAGTCTGGGAAGGGAGAGAATTGAAAGGAAGAATAAAGATATTTAGCAAGTATTATAGGTAATTTTTGGTTTTCATATGGGAAGAAGAAATAGCAGACAAAAATTGGGAAAACAAACTTATGTGTTTCTGACTTTCATGGGAACAAATCTTTTGGGAGGCTAATGGAGAAGTTGACAAGGTGGTCTTCTACTAGTTCTGACTGGAAGTATGGAAATACATTTCTGATTTAGTGAAAGTATTGTGTATAATTGCTATGTAATGTGCATATTGTGACGAATGTATTAATGAGATCTTTTTACTTCCTGGTCTGTAGGCAGAAATTTAGGATCTGTCTCACCTAGAACATGTGTGAATAATAAACTGCACTAAAAACAGAGAGTTGAGCAGTTGGAAGGTGGAGGGATGTTAGTCAGGCAGTTTGAAGCTCTGTGGATTTGTGTTGGTATCTGGCAGTTCAGTGATGGTGTAACAGTGTGAGGAGGAGCAGACAGACTCCCATCTCCAAGAGCCTGTACTGCTGCAGCAAGCCTAGAGGAGATAGTTGTTTCTACTGCAATGTCAAAAAAGGAGGGCTCTTTCTTATTGTAATTTTGGTTTGTATTTTCTTTTATTCAAGGCTTGTTTTTTTACACACACAAAAAACCATACAAAACAACATGATAATTTATGCTTAAGAAAACTGATAGTTTTTTTTTTTGGGTAGTAATGAAGAAGGGGAGGAAGAGATGAAGAAGAAAGTTTCCCCCACAAGAAGCAACTCAGTTAAAGCCCTGTGCTCAAAATGAGGGGAAAAAAAATCTTTCTGGGTTAAAATAACTCAAGTGCTGAAACTGAATGTGGTCTTCTTTTTTAATTCGGGCAGGCTCTGCCTGCTAAGTGCTTTCACAGTATATGCCATGGAATTGGTACCATCTTCAACCTCAAAACTGATTTATTGTGGCTGTGTGACTACTCTGTCTCTCACAGCTACTGGATGGTATTTTTGCAGGGAGGCCGATTTCAGTCCAGATACCTCACTGAAGAACTGCGGAGAATTTTCACTGAAGACTCTGAAACGGAAGAATTTGAAGGCTTTGCTTCAAATGAGGTGCATGTGAACAAGAAAGAAGTTCCGGTAAAGGCAGTCACACCTACATGTGAATGTTCACGTTGACTTCTTTTTTCCTATCTCTTCTGTGTAAACCTCCTGTTCTGGTAGGAATTTTTCTGATACACTGTGATGTTCTTTCTTCATCCTGAATTAAAATATGTTACCTTAAAAGAGATTTATTCAATGTAGCATCACATATTAGAAATGAGAACTTCTTCCCCTGCTTGTAGATTGACTGTGCTGGGCAAGTTTCTTCCTCTGGGATACACCCATGTCTGTATCCCAGACTATATTAATATGTAGATTTCGTATTGATCTCTTCACAGGAAGAAGTCGTGTACTGTGAGCTTTTAAAAATTTGTTGATTTAGGTGAATTTATGATGCTGTCTTTGGGTGCTGAGACTGCTGTCTAGAACTAGTGATTTAAAAATTACTTTTAGTGTGTCACAACCAGTAATGTAACATGGGATTCTTCCTGCCTCTAGACAGTGGAGTCAGACCTGAGTGATGAAGAATGCCCTAATTTATTGGGTAATGAGGAAGAAGAGGAGGAAGAGGCGAAGAAAGCTTCCCCCAAGAGAAGAAGCTTTGGCCTTCGTGTTGCTTTGCAGTTTCCCAGCAGAAAGTCATCTGAGAAAAAAGTGCCTGAACAGTCTTTGTCTGACTTACCTGTAAAGGACAGTGAATCCCTCACACCTCTTTCAAGAGAAATAAACTGCAAGTGGTCGGACAAACTAGAGGGTTCTGCTTCAGAGTCTGAAGAAGACATTAAAGAAACACAGGAGGAAAGTTCCAATGCAATGATTAAGAGAGCCATAAATATAAAAGAAAATAAAGCCATGGTAAGACTTATGAGTGGTTCTCTGACATTTACATCAGAGTACTTAGCTTCAGCATACTTGAATTTTGGGATCCTTGTTGGTGCTGTGCTGGGAAAATCTTACAGTGAATCTTACAGACCTGGGAAAACCCTACAGGTCTTTCAGCACTCAGACATTTACCTCTAAAATAGCCTCAAGTAGGACTAGGCTGGTCAAGTTTAAAACCAGAGCTGAACCAAGCATTTTTAATGAGAGTGTGAACAAAGTTACAGATGCCCAAGTTTTGTGGCCTTATATTCAGAACATGTCAGAAAACCAACTGGTCCCTTTAGGTGGTTTGTGGTGTCATTTGCAGAATAGAGTTTCTACTTTTTGTTAGTGCATGACAGATCTGCTGCAGTTACTGATTGGAAAGCCAGGTAGAAACTGCTAAGGATGATAAATGTAATTTTTGCAGTTGTTTGGGATGTTATTTTTAGTTACACTTTACTACATAACTGTTGAAAGTATGTGTATGTGTGCACATAGGTGTGGAAAAGTGAGACACTCATTGTTCCCTTATGCTTTTTCCTTAATTGTCCAGTGTGCCACCAGCTCTCTTTAATTATCATGCTGCTGTGTAATCTGATTTGTGTTCAGTCCTTAGTAGTTCCTTCAGTTTTACTGTATTTCAAGACAAGTTGCAGCTTCCAAGCAGCCTTGGGGCTCAAGCTCACGTCTTGAGTGTGTGGGTATGCAGCTCCTGTGTAAAACTTGCTTGAGTTTTGTACCTGTTTGTAACCTCTCTTGTACGCCCACTGCTGTTGTCTTTGTCTTGCTGCTCTTTGGCCCTTCTCACCTTCCATTCTTCCTTGCAATTCAACCATTGCAAAATTCAGTGTCATCCTAGGTGCAGTACTGTAATGACATTAAATAGCTCTCAGTAAATGCCACACTGAAGTATTTACTAAGAAATGCTGTGCTCAGCTTTTAATCTCTTGATTGCCATGGCAGTCTCAAGAGACCTTTAGCTTGGCTCACCCCCCCTATCAGTGGCTTTTCAGAAGATAGCTGCATTCTGGACTTCCAGAACAAATCAGTGTTTTTTGGACCTGTCAGCCACTGCTTCTGTGGTAATGTACCTCCAGGACATATACACAGTGCAAAAAATCATCCTGCTGAAGTGCTTCTGATGCTGCATGTGCTGTGGTCACAGGAACTGCCAGTGGGGCTTGGTTGCTTTATGACTTTGTAAATGAGCGTGTACCTGTGTTACTGGTTGTATCTGCACTGCTTAAGGAGACACTGAGTGCTCTGGCAAAAAGCACAGGTGTATCAGCAGTCATTCAGTAAAACAGTCCACAGGGAACATCATACTGTCTTCTGCCAAGGGCACCTTGTCTTTTTTTCTTCCCTCCCTCCTGTCATATGAACTGAATTTCTTTTTATCAGTCATGGATGTCATCACCATGTTGTATTGTGCTCTCTTAGTGCTGTTTCAACAAGATTTTATGTAATTCTGTCTAATTCTAGTTCCCAGTAACGGTTTGTGGGAGCTATGAAGTTAGCACTGCTAGACTGCAGAGTTTTGCTCATTCAGGAGTAAATGAACCCCTTTTGTGAGCTCCATTTAAATAAAGTGCCTCCAGAAGGGTTTCATGCACTGAAAGTTCATATGTTTAGAGATAATTTGAAGTGCATGTGAAGAGTAGATGGTAGGTGTTGCTTGTTGCAAGTTGCAGAGAGCTTTCAATGTGACATGACTTGATTTCAGCTTGCCCAGCTGCTGGCAGAATTGAATTCCATACCAGACCTGTTCCCAGTGAAAACACCCACCTCAACTCCTTCGGTAAGTTTTTGGTACTGACTAGTGGTGACAGTCGTTTTTGTTAAACTTAGGATGAAAGGGTTTAATCAGAAACTTTGACCAAGTTTGTTCTGATTTGCTTTAGGTTTGGGCACTTTATTTTTATAGATTTACTACTGGTCAGGAAGTACCAGAGAATTCTGTAAGTTAACTTATGAAGAAATAAGAAGACTGAGATGAGAGGCTGCTTTATATTTTTTGCCTTAGAAAGACTATTGAGATGGTACACATATGTCTGTGTATGTGGGAGCAAAGAAGAATAGTTGCTTTCCTTTGGGTTTAGATCCTGTTCATTTCCCTCTTGCAGGCTTTTCTTCTAAAATCCACACTTCCCACTAGAGCAATGCTCATGACGTTGAACCACATCAACACAAACTGGAATGATATTGTAGTTGTTTCAACTGACTCTTCTCAACTTCAAGCAGAGGACTTTCAATCTCTCCTAGTTCTCTTTAGAGTAGCATTTTTCCACATACATTAGAAGAGATGTGAGGAAAAACTGCAGAGCCATGTCTTCGGAAAGCCCATTTAGAAATGCTGGTATGCTGGTTAGTAAGTGAAAAGATGAACCAAGTTAAATGGAATTTGAAAGGGTGGAACACCTTGCTAGCTTTAGTTAAATGTTGTAGAGACTTAAACATACTTTAAAGACATACATAACCCTGCTACTTTTATTTATTACCTTTAATGGAGGAAATGGGAGGGCACAAGAAGTATTCTAGTTACCTCATCTGCTTGGTTTTTGACTTCCAACCTGTCTCCTTGTAATGTGCCTTTCACTTCTTTGAAAGAAAATATAAGTGTATGGTAGCAAGCAGACTTGCTTTCTGCATCTTGTTTATACCGTCAGATTTAGTAGCTGCCTTATGGTAGGTGTCCATGCAGGATTTATGGTGCATGAATTCAATTGCGCAGTAATTGGCAGGTGTGACAATATCAAAAGGATGTCTTTCGCCTCTAAAGAATTTCCAAGTTTTAGGAATCATGAACTAGGAGAAGCAGCTTAATAGTGCCCTTTCAATTTAAAAAGTTTAAAAGAAAATAAACTAGAATTTGGATTGTTCCTCAAAGGTGTATTCAGATTGTGGGAAAATCTGAGCATTTAGCTACCAAAGAACAGTGAGAACTAGCTTCTAGCTTAGTATGACACATGTTAAATTTTGATGTAGTTCTGTGATGTTAATTGGAATAGAATTTGACATGAATGTGCAGTGTTTTAAAAGAAGCAGAATGTTATAGTCTGTAGGGAGAATACTTAAGTGCTAGAAATTGGTGAGGTTTGGCTTAACAATTAAGGAGTGGGAGAACAACGGATTAATTCAGGATACTACAAGTGTGGTACAGACATTTTCAGATAATTTCTAGTGTTTAATGCTACAAATAACTGAAAGGACAGTTACTGGAATATTCTTCTCTTTCTAGAAACAGAAGAAAACCCCAAGGAGGACATTTTCTGAAGGCCAGATAGCACGTCGAATGAACCCAACCAGAAATGCTCGTCCACCAGAAAAATTTGCCTTGGAAAAATTTACTGTGTCGGCCGTCAAATTTGCGGAACATATCCGTAGCTACAGACAACAAAACCTCTTGAAGAGACTCAGTGTGGTATTTGCTAGAATTTGATATCTCCAGTAGTCAGGAATTAGGAAACATTCAAATTGTTGGCCAGCACTTAGACCAGACATCACATCTTACAGAAAGTTATTGAGAGTCTTTGGTTGGGATTAGCTACAGAAGAAGTTATTTCCAGGTGTTTGTGCCTCATCTTTCACCTGTTTAGTGGGCTCTGGTTGTGACGTGTGTTGTCTAGCCATAACAAAGAAGTTTTTACTTACAGTCTGTTACTTATGTGTTATCTGAAAATTCCTAGCTCTTATGAGAAAGACTCTTTAAGTGTGCATCCACACAGACTGGATACCAGTTCTTCTTGTAGGAAAGAGTGCTGAGCATAGCTGAAGCATTATAGAGAGAACTTGGCCACTAGAAAAAGTGGAGTAGCACTGAATGAGAACCTGGGCAGGCAAATGACTATTTTGGACAGAATGGAGCTGATCTTAGAGTGAAAGACTGATGAGGTCTTAAGAGACAGGTGTGGGGAAGGCTAAGAATCAGATAAAATTTATCCATGAATAGGGGTCAAAGAGAAGGATATTTGGAAGGAAAAAAGAGCTCTTAATAGTGAGTGGAGTACTCTCTTCCAAATAACAAAGAGGATAGTAAAACCCAGAGCAAAACCACGACAGAAAGGGAGGCCTGGCTATGGCAGGACTAACCTAAAACTTCAGTACAGGGCTTTTTGCAGGGCAGTAGAGGTTGTCATGGGAGAAAGCAATCAGAGAGTGTGCAAGGAGATTGCAGGAGGAAAGCATGGGAAGGCAGATGATCATAGTTTCTTATTTTGAGAGGGAAGAAATGGATTATGAAGGGTTACAGAGCAGGAGTGCAGGGAAAGCAAAGAAAAAAAGTTAGCAGAAGTCATGTTCAAGGATTTATGGAAGTAGAAGTAGTAATGATGGAAAGGAAGAACATTGAAACAGAATAAAAGAGGTAGTAGAGAAAAAGTTAGGGAGGACAGGGAGAGAAAGAGGCAGTGATGATTTGGAAACTATTGCGTGTTCTTCCAGTGGTGTGTGAGCCTGTCAGTCTGCCCACTCTGGAGTGCAAACACATTAAAAATGAAAGAATTTGTTACCAAGTTTGGTGACAGAGTCTTTGTGACATCAGACAAAAGGTATTGAGATGAGTTTATTTAGCAGGGGGATTGTGGAGTGCGTAAAAGAAGGAGATCATCAAAGTACTCGTCTCATCGTCCAGTAGAAGATATTACTGAAGAGGACTTGGACAACATTGCAGTCACTGTTAGAGACAAAATCTATGACAAAGTTCTAGTAAGTGGCTGCTGTATTCTTCAGTTTGTCTGCTTGAAATTAAAAGTCTCTCAGTAGTTCACTGGAGTTTGCTAAAAGGTGTGCTTTCCTGAGGTTCTGGAGAGAGTGCAGCTCGTCATTATTTATGTTATGCAAGCACAACCTTGAAAGCTTTGTCAGGCTAGGCTGTGCTGGTTGAAACACCCCACCACCTTTTTGCCTCTGGAAAAAAGTACTTTCTTACCACAGAGCTATTAAGTGAAATTTGCTATAGCTATGACTCACCACTGATAAGAGTTGGCATCCCTTTTATCTCATTCTCAGTATAAATGTTGTGTTGGTTGTACCATTAAATAATAGTGATGCCCAATATTCCTTGTGCCCCCTGGAAATTACATTTCTCTACAGGTTGGGTAGTTTTCCAAAGTTCTTGATGGAACTCTTCCTTTCTTTCACTGGATTTGGCTATTGATTGTCATAAAGATCAGCTTGCTATATATTTCATTGTATTGGCAGAGATGAGTCAAACGGTCATTTTCTGAATAGTTCTAGCTTTTTCATAGGTGGAAGAAAGGATCAGAACTGCAACATGAGGGTCGTGTAATTTGAGACTTGTGACGCAACTAACTGAAGCTGGATGCTGTCTCTGTAAAATTCCTGCCATTGCTGTATGAATTATCATGATAACAGAACTTCTGGTTCTTACTTCTTACTAAGATTTTCATTGCTGAATTTGACTCTGGTTTGAAATTTGTGCTTATTATTAGGAAAGTTTGTCATTGAGCATTTAAGATGTCCTAGGATGTTTCCCCTCCTTTCCACTTTTAGGGTAGTACTTGCCACCAGTGTCGACAAAAGACAACAGATACAAAGACAATCTGTCGCAACCAGGGCTGTGGAGGAGTAAGAGGGCAGTTTTGTGGACCATGTCTTCGAAATCGATATGGTGAAGATGTGAAATCAGCTCTGCTTGATCCAGTAAGTATAATTTTTTGGGCCTGGAACAAAAGTGTAATGAATAATATATGCTTATGGTAACATGATGTGTTTAAACGTCTTTGCCATGAGAAGATCAGTAGTACTGTAATGACTGACACTGATTTTGTTTAGAACTCAAGTGGAAGGTTCTGGACCTGGGTTATCATCCACCTATGTTCATGCTTTGAAGCTCCATTTGCTTATCAGATGGTGGAGGGCAAGTGTGAGAGCTTTTGAGAAAAGGAATCTGCCCACTTTCAGAAAAATGCCAAAACATTTTTTAATCCTCTCAGTAACATGGCAAGCAAAGCAGGCTCCTTGTTTTAGATTCCAGTGTATAAATATGAGAAAAAAAGAGAAGTACCCTTAGGTACTTCTTAGGAAGTCTTAGGATTGATTCCCCTTTCTTTGTTGCCCCCTGGGACACTGAGCAAGGAGAGAGCACAGGCTGCTGCCAGAGAATGAGGCACATGGATACACAAAGACCTCGTAGCAGAACAGAGTGCTTGGCTTGTTTTGAGACCTCCTCTCCTCCACCTCTGTTTTAGAGATGAGCTGTTGGGCTGTTCTGAAGGACAGCAGAAAACTAATGGCTCTGAGGTGCTGGCAGTGGCTGCTGTATTAGCACCTGTGCTTCTGTGTGCAGTTGCTGAGCACCTTGGAGATGCTTGACTTCATGTAAGAGCTGGATATTCAATTCCAGAAATTGTGCTATACCAGCAGGCAGAGCCAAAGAAACTTGTCACAATGGGCACCCATCTTTTTCTAGGGAGTTGACTACAGTCAGCCTAGCATAGAATGAATTATCATTAGGCATTACGGATGACTTTAGTCTATCTGAAAATCAATTCTGAGCACATTAGAGAACCTGAGGCTTCAAAGTAAGCATTCAAGCATTTAGTGATTTCTTTAATCCTGCAGAATTTGGAAATTTTTAACAAGGTTGACCGCCTGGCTGATAGAGGCTTTTAAAACCTTGCCCTGAGCAGTCACATGGCAGGGAAGACACACTCATGTTTGTCTGAGCGACAGGAAGGCCAATATAATCTCGCTCATAACTTGTTTTTACCCTCTGTCCCATATTCACGCCCTTGCAGGCCTGGATCTGTCCTCCTTGTCGCGGGGTGTGCAACTGCAGCTACTGCCGCCGGCGGGACGGGCGCTGTGCCACCGGCATGCTCATCCACCTGGCCAAGTTCTACGGCTACAACAATGTCAAGGAGTACCTGGAAAGGTGAGGATCATGCTTCGTTGCCATTCCTTGTTAAACTGTTGTAGCCCCTTAAATAATACTTGATTTCTTGTGGCCTGGGGCAGATCCTGCAATCCTATACAAATGAAGTCTCTCGGACTTCAGGTTTTTTTTCCTAGGCTGAAATCGGCTTCTTTGAAGTGAGTCATATCATCTGTGTAAACAACTAATTTGCTTAAGAAATTGAAATGCCTTTGCCTATTTTGAAATCCCTCTTGGTTGCTTGAAGTGTATAGAAGTGCTGTTTTGGAAGGTGTTATCTTCAATAATGGAAACACTTGTTTATGGGGAACTTGAGTTTCCTAAAAAGCACTAACATTGTTTTCTCATGTCTTCTAGTTTACAAAAACAACTGGCGGATGGCAATTGACAACACTGAACCCAAGCTGTGCCTGCAACTGGTTAATATGTTGAAAAATTTTGACTTCAAAAGTTTATTACTCTGTTTTATATAAGATAGAATTGTAGTGCATAGTACATTCATTTCTGCGTTGGGAACTTTTTGATTGATATGGTCTTATGCAAAAGATCTCTCAGGAAAACGTTTTGGTAGAGAAATCTACATGCACAGACCTATAGGTTAAGTGAAATGGCACTCTTGAACCTTGAGTGGTTAATTTTTAATAGAGCTACCCGAGCACATGATAGAGAACTTGATCAATTTGAGCAATATTTTTATTTATATAATTGTGCGAGTTTGCAGAAAGGGTGTTCAACAACTACCTTCAAAGCATCTGTATCTTTAAAGAAACAAAACACCCTTGTCTACCAACTTGACCATAAAGATTCAGTTTTCCAGCCCTTGCTTTCCGAACCTATTCATCCACCTGTAGTTTATGGAACTTGTCCCTACGAAGAAGGGAAGTGTACTTTTATTTGATGCCATTATATTCCAACCAAAGCTGATGCAATCGACCAGTGAGAGGATGATTGTTTTTTTTTTTATTTTATTCCAAAGTGCAATTATTCACCGAAACATGAAACTAGAAGAGTTTTTCTTTAAAAATATAAAATAAAATTTTAAACGTCATCCCAGTAAAACCAGCAGTTTTTGTGTAGTGCACCTGCTGCCTGAACCATCTACCCAGCGGTTATAACTGGTCTAAATCAGAGTTGAGGATTAATTTTTTTCCTTACAGTTCATACTTAGATTTTTTTTTTTCATTTGTACAACCAGGCTTTCAAACAACTTTGTTTAAATGCAACATGTTTGTATTGCATGTTAAAATATGTTAAAATTCTTGTAAGATATAAGTTTGATTTTATGTAGAGAGAATAAAGACTAATCTAAAGAGGAGTATTTTGTGAGTCAAACTACACCCGGATGCTGATGTTTCCCGTTTACTTTCCCATAGCTGGTGTAGTGGTGCTTGCCATTACAATGATCAATAATCATTATGTGGAGGAACACATGAACACAACACTGATGGATGAGGAAATAACAACATAGAGCACATAAGCTTTACACTAAGGATTGTGTTTTTGTGAGGCAAATCTCCTGCTCCAGCTGACTGTGAAAAATGTTTATCTTCTTTAACTACAAGGCAGATTGAGAAAGCAGCATGTATTATTGAGAGGTTAGTACTAAACTGCCAAAAGTAAAGCTATTCCTGCCAGAACCCATTTACCTGACTTCTTGCTTTTCAGATTGAAAGTCCAAACATAAGTTGGCCCTCTGCTTTTGGTTTTATAAACTGGACATTCATAAACATTATTAGTTTCCCTTTGATCCACTGGGATTGCCTTTAAGAAAATGATTGGCATTGTTAAGTCAATTCCTTGAGCTGAGCTTGATGTCTCACCTGGTGCCTGCAATAAACGTAGCACATGGTCTACACAGTGTTCTGTAGTGCAAGACTGAAATAATTTGGTTTTTAACAATGGCTAAACCCATAAAGCTACGTTTGAACATGCAGATTTAGTGTTGACTGTTGTTATTCTATTGTGCATCACCTCTTTGTGTGAATACAAAGATCAGAATGTAGCATCTGCCTGGACTGGACTTGGCTTCATCGCCCTTTTATTGAAAGCAGGGAAAGTATTTACAGTTGGGACTTAAAATATGAATGTTCATGCCAAAGTCAAATGCTCAAATTTTCCCCTAATTCTCCACTAGTTTATGATGAATTCTCCACCCAAAGGTGGAGAACTACACTGGAGCACTTAGCATGTGTTTGTACTGTGTGAGGTATCAAACAGGTACTTGGGTGTAGTTAAGACAGAGGAGTTCTGAGCTGCTGAAGGGCCATGCACTTTCTGAAGCTTCTGGATTTGTTGTATGTTCTTCTAACATAAACTAGTATATAAAATGTTGCAAATGCTTGTGCATTTTAGGAGGATTTATGTGACAGGAAACTTTATGTATGCAAATACTATCGCAAACACAACTTCAGTCAGAAAGTTCCGTGATACTTTCCTCATATCCAGAGGGGAAATGTACAGTATTACCCTTGAATTGAATATAGTCCTCTGAAAAATGCATGTCACCATTTCAAACAGCAACAGTCAAACGACATCCATGTCATTGCTTCACTCTCTCACCCTGACTTTCCAGCTGGAGCTTCTGTAGGAGCAACTCCCTTCCAAAAGTGTTGCTCTCCTTTTATTATATGTGGGTCTGGTGAAGAGTACAAGTAACAACGTTTCTTTAATTGCCTCTTAGAGTCATTCACCTTTCCTCTAATGAGCTGTAACTCAGTTTACAGCTTTTCTAAGTTAAAACTAAAATCTCATTTTGACAGCAGGCCTGAATTGGCATTCCTAAATGAGATGCTTCAGTCTCAGGAAAACAACAGATTCAAATAAACAAGGTATGATGTTTATCCTCTGAAAGTTGTTAAAAGAGAGGTTGCAGCTCAAAAGATGAACATGATTGCTATTCAGGGACAGCCTACAACCACATTATAGCTACTGCAATAACTGACTGATTAAAAATCCAGATGAAAAAAATTTCTTTTAATTCTTACACTTTGCCCACCTAGTCGTGTCATTAAATCTCATGCTAATACAGGGATTTTCAAGTACTTCCTTGCTTCTTGGTATGTCTCCCCAAAGGCTTATAAGTAGTATGGCATAGCAAATAAAAAATATCAGAGTTCTTTAGATCTGTTTATTTACAACTGTCAACGGTTTGCAAAGGTGGAAGAAAAAAAAACAGAAAAAAGACAATTTTTGTGTGTTGTTTGTTTTGTTTATTTTGTTCGTGTGTGATTTTGGTGGTTTTTTGTTGGTGGTTTTTTTTTATTATTTTTAATTATTATTATTTGTTTGGTTTTTTTGCTTGAGTTTGGGCTTTTTTTTTGGGAGGGGCATAGTTTGTAGGGGTTTTTGGTGTTTTTATTTGTTTCTTTTTTTAACTGCAATTGTTTAGATTACTTGATCCTTGTTACCAACATGTGGTAAGTATGTGCAACATGTGCACCTCTAAGAGCTGCAAAAAATTTCTAGATGATGAGTGTTGTGAAAGTTACAGTCTCAAGGATAGTCTTTAAGCTTCTGAACCTCGACTGGATTAGAGCTGTGACTTTACTACAGTGCAGACCTTGTTCAGACACAACAGTTATTTAAATGCAGGAAGTATAGTCAGTGAGTAGGACACCGAGCTGGTATGAAATTTAAAGTCACAGGGAACCAATGCCAACAATCCACCACCATTCCTAAACTTCCTTGGAGCTGTTCATAGAGTCACAACTCTTTAGTCCAACTCCTGATGCTACTTAACTACCTAATATTGGAAGCTAGAGTCCTTGAACTAGGCTACTGAGATCAAGCAATTTATTTCTTACCTTCCATGGAAAGCACACAGATAGAGGCTCCTCCTCTTGGTGGATGGTCATAATCTTCTTTGGTCTTTTTGGTAACATCTGCAGTCAAGCACACCTTATCCAAAGGCCAGTTGTTCTTGCTCTGCATTGCAGCTTTAAAAAAAATAGTGCTTTCAAGAATTCAATATCCAGACAGAAATTTTAATGTCAGAACTGTCAACCTGCCCTTCTTGGGCTGGTTGTGCTCAAACCTGAGACTGAGTTTGTTTTGGTTTTGATTTTTAAATTTTTTTATTCCTTTGGCCACTACTTGAGGTAAGGCAAAAAAGCTGCATGAAGACAATTGTTGGGAATCAAAACATTCTACAGAGTACAAAACAAGCCAACTCCCCTCCCCATCATGAGAGTGAGACCACATCAATGCTGTCTAGGCTCAGAGACACCTCTCCAGCTGGGTTCCCCTTCAGAAGAAGCCTGTGCTAACATCTATCCTAACCTGTATGGTCCTTGCATCTCCCCAGGCTCTGGCAGGAACAAATACCTGGAACAGAAAGCTTGGAGAGAGGCAATAAAAGAATAAATAAAATACAATGAGGATTTCTCTATGCCTGTGACACAAAAAGCACTATTTGGAGGCCTCAACATGAGCAGCAAAGAGGAGCTCCCTGCCAGCCCTCATGCTGCCACCCCCTTCTCCTTCCAAGTACAGGGAGAAGTGCTGGAGCATCTGGGCTGTACACATTCCCTGAGCTTCCACTGCCCATCTCCTGGGAATGATGGTGGCCTGGCCAGTGTTCTGTGAGGAGCTCCTGGCCACCTTTCTGTTAGGCTAGTGAAGTGCCGTTGGTGACCAGGCAGAATTTGAGCTGCACTATTAATCAGGCTCTCCTGTAGCTTCACTGTGGTTTTCAGAATAAATTCAGGCTGTGATCATGGCAAAAAGTGAGGTATCAGTACACTGCTGAAGGTTTTTTATCCCCTACTGTGGCAACAGCTACACAAAGAAGATCAGGAGATGGATTTATTTTTCTCCTTAGCCTGGTAACTGCATTAAGGAATAAAACAGAATGGTACTATTACATATGCACTGAATTGGTTAAATAATAAGGGTAGAAAACCTTGCATTCTTAAACCTTTTTTAAACTATGAAATTCAAGCTTTTATTTTCTTAGCTGCTTTGTCTTCACGCTTCTGAGTAGACTGAAGACAAGTTGGGATTGTTCTCCCTGCTGTCAGGAGATGGTTATTCTGATATTAAGGTGATTTTTATCTTTTTCTTTAAACTGTGATTAACTCTCCAAACAGCATCACAAACATAACTAACACCAATAGTTAAAAAAAAAAAGCCTGGCAGTGAAGCCACATGCTTGGTAACTTACAACCATGACACTGCTTACCTGTCAAAGGACTGAGGATGGAATCCAGAAAGACACCACTGTTGGAAGTGCAAGGTCCTGTCTGTATCCAGATGTTGAGTTATCTGGACCACTGGAGAAAATTAGTAACTAAAAGAGAAGCATCAGTAGCTTCTTCCTTAATCTATACGTACTACTTCTTTTTAGACAAAAAACCTAGGTCTCAGGTGTCAGGAGTCCTTTAGTTTACAGAGAAAGTACGTGCCTGGAGTCACCAGAAAGTATAAGCTTACATAAGGATAAGGTCATCATTTCAGTAGAACTTGTTGTTTCCCTAATGTATGTCCAAAATCAATTGTAGAAGGTGATCAGCATGAGACAGGTTGCTGGCAACAGAGAATGTGAGTATGCTCAATCCTGTAAAACTTGCTGTCTTGGGGAGAAACCTGAACATCACCAATAAGTCATGTTAACACACCTTCAGAATCTGCCAAAATTTGCTAACAGCTGATGGCTTCTTAAATGCAAATTATCTGATACCATCTTCATTGGTGCATCTAAACTTCTGATGAGCCACAGCAAATTACATGTCAGGAGCACAAGAGAGTCAGACACAGGCTCCAAGTAATGGCATAGTGCAGCATACATTGCCAATGAGATATCAGAAGAACTTCCAAAAACACTGCCTGTTTTATCCATATCTAGCCACCTGCAAGTGGCTATTGCTGATGGCAGGCTAGGGGAAAAGGAATCCTGCAAGATGCTGAACACCCCTAGTACTTGGGACAAAGGGAGGTGATGGAACCTTCAGCAAAGTGCTTGGCATTTCTACAAAACCCACTTGAAAGGAAAACTGACTTTCATTAGGACAAATTTTGAAAAAAAAAAAAAAAAAGAAGGAACAAAGCTGAGCCCTACCACTGTAGGGTACTTACCAGTGGGTAAAGCATTATGTGGATGAATATGCTAGTTTAGTCCATGTGTTTGGCACAACATCATAGAAGAGTGCGGATTGCAGCACTTCCATGTGAGGAGAAAATATCAGCTCCCCCTTTGTCTGCAGGAAAATAAAAAGCATACTGGCACCATAAAGAATAGCTATTCTTTCATTTCCAAAAAAAGCACCAAAAAGCCCCAAAATGCATAGAAGAGCAACAGTACTGTTAAACAAGTCACTTGCCTTCATACTGAGGTCCGGCTACAGATCTCTGAAAGGAGGAGGTTTCCTCCTCCTACGCTCTTGAAGGCAAACAAAAGCATGGGGTCTCCAGGCAATAGTCTTCTACATGAATTCTGCTATGTTAAACTTCTCAGGAAGCATCTCCAGGATATCATCCAGGACATTCTTAACCTGTGCAGGACAATACAGCAGAGCCATTAGAAATCCCAGCAGTCAACTCTTTTTGTCTCTTCTACTTTGAAGTCTGATTTCTTCTCCAGGAGAGTGCAAACATCTCATTTTCTTAGATAAAAACCAGTGAGACTTCCTTCCTCACCTTTGCTGTTTTTGGCAACAGTACTGAGATAAATGACTGCAAAACAATTAACACCTAGCAGCTTCTATTTAGCTTTACTTTTTAAAGTAATATTGACCCATAAGGCCCACTAACACATTGTTCCTGGACTTGGGATGACTGCTGTTGGTAGGATGCACACTGAAATTATCTTGATTTTCAGCTGAGTATGATTAGAGGTTTGTACTTCTCTAGTACCTAATAGCTTCCTTCACCCTCTCCACCACCCACAGCCCTTCCTGTCCCAGGTGTTATGCAAAATGCAGTGCAGGCACAGGCACACACATGTCTCACCCTCCAAAAGAGCCTCTCTTCCTCCCTGCAGGCTTGCTCTGTAACTGAGACAGAACATAAATGAAGAACAATTCATAAAAGTACCAAAGAGCAGGAATTGAAATCACAGCATTAATGCAGCTCAGCCTCTGTTTCAGTCCTAGCTTTGGCAGAATTAATGAATGCCATATATAATAGTCCAGACTCCCTAAAGTGGATGGGAACTGAACGTGAAAAGCACAAACTCCCCCCAGGAGATGAAGCACTGTTTGGCCACTTGCAAGCAGAGCTGTCACACTCCCTCCTGCAAAACCTCCATGATCTGATACCGATAAGAGAAAAAAAAGGAGTGCCCAGAGGAAGAGAAGGGAGTAAGGAAAGGAATTGAGAAATGCAGAAGAAGCGAGGGAGTCATGGGAGATTTTAATTAACACTGGTAAGAATGAGGAGCTCAAGGCTCAGTCTCATCATATGGCAGGTTTTGGGGCTTCTGGATGTAGTTTCTCAGACCTACACTCAGAAAGGAAGGTGCAGAAGACAGCAAAGTCTGAAACAGAACTAGCTGAGATTTTTGATTACATTTTCCTTCCCTGCTCATCCTTTATTCGTTTGCTCTCTTAAGTACAGCACCAGCGATGTTCCATGAACAAAACTACAGTGCCCCAGTTAACTCCATATTAAGTGACAAAGCTTATCCTTCTATTAGGGTTGGCCCCTTTAACCTAGCATCTGATAGCTTATAGAGGTTAATGATATTGTTCTGCTAAACTCCAGGTTCTGTACAAGAGAGGTGCTAAGGCTAAGAGATGGTCAGACAGCCTCCTTGGCCAGATTTCACCTCTACAGACTACCAGAAAACTAAAACTCCCTGCAAACCTCCTTGGCTACTGATTACAAGGGAAGTCTCTTGCAGCAGCCAAATGGCTCCTGCTCAGATCAAGGGCCCAGAAAGGGAAGTGGTGGGAGAGCACTGTGCTTGGGCTGCCCTTCCTGATATGGAGACCATGCACATTGCTGCTAGGCTGTGCTGTCAGTGTGGCAGAAGAAAGCCAGGACTGCAGGCTGGGAGAGACTTCCTATGCTTGGCACAAGTAGGAAGAAGCAGGAAAGCTACTCAAAGGGGTTTTATCATGCAGGAGATGAGAACATAGGGCAGAGGTGAAGACTAGACCCACCAATTCAACCAACCATGCCTTTTTTCTAGTAAGTTATTGTTGCTGTACTTTTTTATAAAAGCATATAAAAAAAAAAAAAGATAGATCCATACCTTGTATCCCACCCCACAATTAATTCAAAGTGAAAAAGAAATGAACTGCATAACAGGCTAGATGTTCCTCTAGTCCAAATCTCTTTGGTCCAAATTCCTTCCTAGTGCAGTACCTTGGCCAGGCTGGTGCATTATCATCACTACTATTAACACTCATTTAATCTTTTCTAATTTGATGCATCATTTTCCCCCCATGAAATTAGATCTCTTGCTGAAATAACACAATCAGATGTGTGCTTCACATGTCATTAAAGCACCGACAACACATCAGATTAAGAACTTCACATCTTTCTCTGCAGGCTGGCCTGATCCCTCTCCTACAAATGTATTCATGGGTTGCATTTTTGAAAGAGTTTTGAAGAAATTATCTGATATTGTTGTCAAGAATCCCATCTCAGCATTGGAGTGCAATCCATATAGTACAGGGCATTCAGATGCAGGCATTTAATCTATGTATTTATGGTATCCATCATAATTCAGATTTGGTGGGATCAAGAAACCCAGTGCCAGTTCCCCTTCAAACTGCAGAAAAGAATCAATGTTATTGATAATTCTGACACCAGTTCTTGAAATATTCTTTTGCATCCGCAAAGTTTCAGAAATTTGCTTGGAGTCTTTGGGCACGATAGCTGTATGTTCTGATACAATGGAACAGGGTTACCAAAGTATTTTAAGCATATTTGCACAATTTCCCTACAGTCCCTTTTTCTGCAGTGTTAAAATACTGTTACTTCTTCCTTCACAAGGATGCTCTGAGTTTATTTTAAGGACTGTCGCTACTGAGGTGAGCGTATTCTAAGTATGAATGTCTGCATCCCTGCAGCAGACAAGCAAGCATTATTATGCCATTTTGCAGATGAGAGTCTGAGGCAGGAGAAAGTCACAGAGGGTACCTGTGGGAGAGGCAGGACCGGGCCTCAACTCACCTCAACCCTGTTGTGTATTAACGTGAGCCACAGTGATAGTTCTATTTATTCTGTCATTAATTAGGGGCTTTGCACAAACACACTGCACTCATAATAGCCTTATGGGTCACAGGGAGAGACAGGAAGATGAGACAGGTAAGAGGAATGTGGAACTGGGATAGCACATGTCAGTATATGAGCAATCTTAACTTGTCAGAAACAGCGGTCCCATTCCACTTTCCACATAAATGGCTGCCAGTCAGGACAGTGTTGATGTCCCTTCCATCCTCTTCTGCCTGGCTGAAGAGAATGTCCCTGGCAGCCAGGAGCTGGAACAGAAAAGAAAATCTAGCTCCTCCACTGCATCTCTCCAAAGGTAAGAGTCTTGCTTGGGGTTTTGTACTGCTGCTTTGACCTCAGTGAGAAAGACAGTGGTGATGATTTTTGCAGGAAAAAAATTAAGGTCTCAATCAGCTCTATATTGAACCAAACACTATTAACTGCACTGTTTCTACAGAGCACCTAGGCCCTAACTCTGTCAGGATATTTAAGAGAAGACTTGGGACTTTAGAGCAGATCAAGATTTAAGTAGGTAGACAGGGCTTTGGTGAGATGTACTCTTGGTGTATAAGAGTACTCCTACAGATGACAGGACAGAATAAAAACCGTAGCAATCACATTTCTTTTCCAGACTCCCCCAGCTCCTGTGCTGTAAGAACTTCACTGGATTCAAAGCATTTATCTGAACTTATTGTCATAGGGCTGTCTGGGATTTAAACTAGACTTTAAGTTGTTTTTGCTGAAAAATATTTCTAGCTCTAAGTGGTACTTTTCACAAGAGCTATTTCTTCTTAATGCAGGGCCCACTCTACAAAAATCACAATACCATTTAACGGCTTTTGGCATTTAGAACAGTCAACAACAAGCTGTTGCTCAAAATAACATCACTAAGCACTTATTTCTGAAGTCATTTGGTTCTGCAACCAACCATTTACCTGCGCCTGAACTTGCACCACTAACCTCACCCACAATAAGCTATATCTTAAGACCACTTTGAAGCAGTGCTGAGGTTTTGAAAAAAGCCCTGTTATTTACCTTGAGTAAAAGATCAATTCTGTCAGACAGTTTGTACTTACAAGTCTCTCTGCTGGCACTTAAATCAGGTTTTACTGTATCCATGGGAGTTATGTGCACAGAGGGAGGTTATGGGTTACTGGGGTTCATAGCAGGAACTCCCCACCCTTCTGTCCTTATGACAGATCCCAGGTGAGGTATATCAAAGCTCAGTGGCTTATTCTAATGCACCTCATGTAATGAATTTATAGCTAAAAGAACTCATCAGTAAGGCAAATAGGTAAAAAGAGAAGGTAATCTCCCCAGTGAACACAAAGTCCCACCAGTGATGAAAGGCCATCCTGTTTACATTCATTTGGTTGCCAGTGAATAAATGATTTTCTGGTTTTGCTGGTAATTCTGAGCTTTAACATTTTCCAATTACTGCAAAAATCTTGGAGAGATATCTCACTGTTTAAAACACCAGTAGATCCAAGCTCAAGGTTGGGTCCCTAAACTTTCCAAAGGCCATACAAATAGCAGTGATTCTGTTCAGGTTTCACCACCTATACTTATTTTGCAATTATTTGAATGAAAGTTCAGGCTTGTGAAGGTTAATGTACTACCTAAACTGGAAGCAGTAATTCTTCACTTATCCATAGGCTACAGGCAGACCTTGAGCCGGCAGGATGAGCTTCCCACCGTGCCCCTGCGACCTCAGCTGTCATGTGGAGAAATCTGCCTCCTTCGAGGTCAGGAGTACAGTGGTGTTTAGCCTTTCCATCTCCATGGCAACTTACTCTTGGGCATCTTCTTCTGAGCAGTTACTTCCAATTACCTTCATCTGAGTGTGGCTCTTTGACATATGAAAACCTGCTTGTTAGGGACCGAGGAGACATCAGCCTGCTCATCTTGCTCCCAGCCACAAGGCAGCTTCAGCCCGTCACCAGGGTGGAAGGTGCACTTCCCCCAAGTAAGCCAGGCTCCACAAATGGCCTGCTCACATGTTACATGCTGATTTCCATATTTTATTCTTCTCAAATAAGATTTTACCTGTGGGCAATGAAAAATAACAAGTCTGCAAAGGGTACTTGAAAAATCTCTTGGTTGTTTTTAGAAAATTGTGTACAATCAGTTCTCTAAAGTGACTACTTCAGCAAACCCAGAAACTGTCTGGGTTTTTAAATATTTTTATTTATCTATCTATATATCTATATGTCTTATACACACACATGTTGTATATAAATCCACATAAATACATATAAACGTATGTATATGGAAACGGATTAAAGTAATTTCCAAGCAAGACTTCTTAGAACTAAAGTTAAAGCAACATTTTCTTTTTGTAGCCTCAAAAATTCTAACATTTTTTGCTGATTAGAAGCAACTTTGGCTATCTGGCACCTTGAACTCATGGATGCTGCACATACACTGCTGTCCAGGACAAAAACTCAACAGTGACATTTGAATATTCAGTATATGTCAGCTGGTGATAAGCTGACACAGCTACCGGTGTGTGAGAGGGTAGTAGAAAATTCAAAATAGTCTACCAAGCTATTTTCCCTATTTTGGAAATGGAAAAATGCAAGGAAATGTATAACATTTCCATTCTACTATTTTTCTGGGGAAGAAAATGTGCAAACAGTAAGAGGATAGTGTCATTCTGGACTGCTGAAACTGGTGAATCTATCAGTTGGTAAAGTATCCAGTTCCGTAAGAGATACTTTCCCATGCCAACCCAGACCTTTCTAAATTGAAGCACCTTAAAATAGTATTACTAGGAAAATGAAAATCTAAGTGTACCCAATGTCATTAAGATCACTATACAAGCAGTGTTACGAAATACTGAATTTAGGTTACCAAGTAAGGGTACTTGAAGAAGTAAACAAGCAGTATGCCAAGTCACAAACACTTTCAGACAAAATCTGCTCATGATGAATCACTGTAAAATTTATTCCTCCATGGTCAGACAAGACCCAGCTACAGGTGGAGCTGCATAGATGAGAAAGTTTGTGGTCTTCAATTTCCCTTAGGTTGAATAGACTATAGAGATGTTCAGAAGCTTTATATATACGTGAGAGTTCTTATCAGAAGTGGTCTGATGAGTTCTTGCAGATATATAGAGCAGAGCCTGAGGTCCCAGGCATTGGTGGCCACTCTATATGATCTCACCGAACAGATAATGAAAGTTTTCCCATAGAACCTACCTGGGGAATAGAATGCATCACTGATGCAAACAAGTCAGCTTTTTAAAGGAGAAACCAAGGCTGTTCAGAATAAATGCTACTCAGAGGAAAAAAAAAAGAAATTCAAGTGCTTCCTTTCAGAAAGTTTCATGGTTATATGTTTGGATTGCTGGGTTTGGTTTGTTCAGCAAACTACACTGAAAAACAGATTCCTTTTATTTCAATCCAGTGAGAGTGTCTGAGTAAAAACAGCAAGTTTGTGACTAAAATCAGTAACGGTGTAAAAAACTTACAACAGAAAAGCACATTTTCAAGACATGCATGGTATAAGAGAACATAACTTCATGAACAAGTGCATGTGTTTTCTCATACAGATCTTTGAAAGCGTAATCCTCATGAAAGACAGGAAGGTAACCTACTGTGCCTTTCTTAAAGGAGAAATAAAAAACTCGTATCTGATTGCAGTCTTTTATATCTCCTCACTAGGAAACATTTAGTAACTGAAATTCTACATTATTTGAATTTGGAAAGTATTCAAGAACTTTGGTGAATATTGAATTAATATTAATCCCATGACTGCCACATCACATTAGCATTAAGTTTATTGTAGAATTTTAGTCATAATGCCACTATTATAGTATGTGATTAAGAGTGGTAAACCATTTTATTCAAGAAACTACTGTCTTTTTAATTTGGCTTCACAGCATTTGAAGCTTCTTTTTGCTCCCCTTCCGTTTGCAAAATATGCCAGTTTGTGAGGAAACTTTTGCAGAAAGGAACCTTTACGCCCTTGGGGGCAGTATTTGTCTCCCAACACTTCAAGTAAAAACTTAATTATAGGCTTTAAATATTGCATCATGTAACAGAACAGAACAAGTAAAATAGCTGCAGCTATTCCAGACTGCCAACTACATAGACTTGTATGTAGCAGTCTGATTATGTGAAACTCTAACCCACCTTTATTTTAAACTGGTTTAAAGAGAATGAAAAAAAATTTAAAACAAAGCCACTGGAATGTAACATGTAACACTGCATGCTTGTGATGAGAAGACTGATCAGAGAATCCCTGTGAAAAATGTGAACAATTTGAATTTAAAATCAAACATTCTTGGAATTAGAATAAACCTACTTTTCTCTTTGTTGGCAACAAAACTTCATTTAATGTTTTTCTAATTTCATATATATTTATCTCAAGAAATTGCCCCTTCCTTTGTCTTTGACAGGAGTATATCAATATTCTAACTCAGTACAAGCTCATTCAGCTGCACATTTCTGGGGCACTGATTATAGTGGGATAATCAAAGCTGCTGATACAAAAGGGCAATTTTCAGTAGTGTAAGAAAACTGAAGAGTTTGAATTAGAAATATTTTGGCCTGTCAGATTCACATAATTGCCATTGTACTGTATAGAAAAGTAGTCTGTTGTACCCCAAAAAACACAGAGCCGTTGCTCAGTGGATGGATAACGGTGAGGGCAGAATCTACATCCCCCTTACAACATGGAGTGACAACTCCATAAACACATGTGTAGAAATCAGAAGGTGGGGAGCAGGAGTGGGACAGTTAGGCAGGATCAAGCATCCTGTATTTCGCATAAGGAGACCTTAACTATCAGAGTTAGCATGTTGGAGTTTGTCTCAGCAGCAGGAAAACACACTAAGTCAAGCTGAGATGCGAGACTGGATATTCACAGGAAAACACTATAAAACTGGTACAAGTGATGATTGAGGTTATGGCAATTTCCACTAGCTGATGGGCTAGCTCAAGTTGCCCAGTTTATGCCTTCTGCTTTTTGGTCAATCCATAATTGCCTTAAGAAAGTTGTTTCCAAAGGATAATAAAATGTGAGAGTTTATATAGGTATATACACATATATACATGTATACAAAGTTACATTTAAAAAAACCTATTATCTTATTTCTCTCTCCAATATCTACGTTAAAAAAATCTTTATAAAGCCACAGGGTAATGAATCACTAACCAACACAATGAGAAGGGCCAATAAGCAATATTACCAAGAGAAGAAATAATTCTTGACCTTACAGATCTTTCTAGTACTCCCTGCCATCAGAATCCTCCCTCTCATTAATTAGTAAAATTAATTATCCAGCTTATGAATTGTGGTTTGAAAAGAACAGAGCTTAAAGCAGCAAGATTTATTAGCAAAGAAAACTAAGGGTTGGAATAAGCTGATTTTATAGACTTGTTTTCTAAATGGGAAACATTATTAAATCATCACTATAAAATTAAGCAATTATTTCACTATTATGACACCAAGTACCACAAAAAGCAAAAACGCTTTGATGTCCTATTAGCTAAATAAAGGTCAGTAGGGGTATGAAGACAGAATGAAAATCAATTTGTAAGAGCAAATACAAGTTGGAAGGTAAGGAGAAAACCATATAATCAAGGGGTTACACTTATCTTTTTTTCTTTATGAATTCCTCTGAAATTTCTTTAAATTATTAAAATTGGAGGACATATTTAGTAATATCCTATATCATTCAGTAATAAATAATTACTGCTTTTATTTAAGCATTTCACATTTTCACATACAGAACTTAGACAAGTGACCTCAACTCAGTATTTAAACTACACAAGTGTGAAATATGCTGTAGCTCAGAAATAAAATCACTCATCTACCCTTAACTTTGACTCAAGGGGAACATTACTGAGAAAGTCACAACAAGGTGGCATCCTTAATACATAATAATGACACATTCAGGAAATGCACCATTATTTATACATGTGACGTGCTGTAAATTGCTTCCATCATCAAAACTAATTGTAGTGATTATTAATGCAGTGTTATGAACTGTCAGAATTGCTGTTTGTAATTACATTTGTGCAAATGCTTCATTACCTGCCTAATGAATTTGGCATATATGCACATGTAAACCCCTGTTTTTGTTAACATAATGAAGGGCATTTTTTTTTCCCCTTAGCTACTGATGTGGAACTGGTTTGACCTATATTACAAAGTTCAAGCATCCACTGCCAGAAAAAATCCCACAACCCCCTACCTCCCTTGATCTGGTTTATTTTCATACTCAACAAGAGCATCATATAACACCAGCTATTTAAATAACAGCTCCAGAGAAAGGATTGTGTCCCCCTTATTCAGTACAAACAGCTGATTGAGTTGAAATGACCTTGATGTGTGGTTACCTGACCACTACTTCTTACCTTCATGTGGGCCTCCAAATAGTTGCAGAGGACAGTGACACAGACGTGGAGATCTCTGGTGCTGAACCACTCCCTTCCATTCCAGCCCTGAGGGCCAAACTTCAGTCTCCCAGCAACGCAAGTGTGAAAATTGCACAGAAGACAAAGGATGCTTTTAAATTTCCGTTCTCTGGTACACAGCTCAAGGGTATCCTGTCAAAGAAAAAAGGAATAACATGCAGCAACAATCGGCAGCATTATCAACAGCTGTGCCTGCCTCCGCAGCTGAAAGGGAGCACTCACAAGCCTGGAGATGGAAGGAGAGTAAGAAACAGGTTTCTTAATGATCAGAGACTATTGGGCAGTATGCTTTTGCAGTAATTCCCAGATGCACAAATGTTGATAGTGACATTTTTATTTCCAAATCTCCCCTAGGAAAGAACTGTTGTGCTACTGAAACCAACAAAAATAGAGTCTTTAACTAGAACTCTATAAATATCACTCAGTAACCACTACAGTTTCTTAGCATAAATCATCCATAGACTTTATCCCAAGTAGAAAACATACCAGTTTAACACTTACTAAAAAAGCCTTCAAAGTCCTTCAAATTTTAGTTTCCCAAGAGTCGTGCTTGAAATTGAAATTTAGTATTTTTTTTTACCTCCATTGTTTGTAGTAGAATCTCAGCAAGATAAGATTCAGCACAGGGTTTCAGCTGGTTTTTAAAATATTTGGCATTGCATATAAAACCTGTAGAAATTAATCCTTATTTCTCTGACATACATTATTTAACTTTAAGAACTAATGGACATAAAATTACTTTTGGCACCCGTGAAAACATAGATGTGTGGAAGAAACTTCAGTAGGATAAAATCTTGGCTTTTAAAAGGAAATAGATCATCCTGAACTAAACAACAGGTAGCAGAGTCTGGAGAAAGGTGAAGGATTTTATGTCTGACAAAAAAACCTTCTTAAGTCAGAATGCTGAGTTTAACCATGAAAAATACAACAAAAGTTTCTACTCTGAATAAAACCAAGAGCCTTGATATATAACAAAATAAACATTCAATATATCAGATGTCTAAATTTGAGAAATTAAGAGTGACAGAAGAGTTAAACCTGACACCAAAAAACCTTGTCAGTCTTTATTCTGCTAGCTTACCAACCACTGTGCCAACTGCTTTTGCAAGACCTGAAGCCAAAGTAATTTTTAAAGTATTTTTCTGGTCAGTCAGAATAGCAGATGTGGTTTGTTCTTTTTGTTTGTTTGGTTGGTTGGTTTGGGGTTTTTTTGTTGTTGTTTGTTTTTGTTTTGTTTTAGTTTGTGTTTGTCTGTTTTTGTTTGGTTGGTTTTTTGTTTTGTTTTGTTTTTTTTTTTAAAAATATCTAATTATACACCCCCTAGTCTAAAATAAAATCCATAATAAAATGGATTTGGTCTAGGATTTTTTTTGAAACATAAACTTAAAGGGGTTCTGGGCCAAACCCCAGAAGACTAAAGATTGGGAAGCACTGAGTACATCCAAATCTCACTAGTTCTAGCTAGATTAGCACCATTTGAGATTTGGTCCAACATGTTTATGGAATGTCCTTTCAGACTTTCCCCAATCCTTTACTATCAAAAATCTTTACAGTAAAATTCTTGCCTCTCTCCTCCCTCAGAAGCCAGGAATAATGGGCTGGAAAATTGAGCAGGTCTGTAACATCAGAAGATTCTCAGATGTTCCCCCTTAATTCCTGTGACTTCAGACACACAACACTGCCTCTGCCATCTCCCATTTTCTCATCCTGTCCCCAGAGCAGTTGAGAACTCTGAAATTCCCCTGAAAACCAACTCGGCTCTTCTCTTCACAACAACATTTCTATACTCACTAGCAGTAAAGCAGTGTTATTTTCAGACTAGCATGTTTAGTTTACTCATGTGAAATCTGGTTTAAGACTTCTACTTTCACTGATGATAAAGGGGGCAGTCTGTGTGTGCTCCCACAGTGCCTAGCACATCAGGGCCCCTCACTAATCCCATGGAGATTTCATCCAGCAGACACCACTGAGTCTAGCCCATCTCTTCATTTGTTGCAGGCAACCTGGTTCACAGACAAACTAGGCTGCTGAGGTTAAAACCAGAAGAGAAGGGAATCACTCCATTCTCATGACCAGCCTAATATCAAGGCCTGGAACGTGCATTTCTTGTTCAGCTTGAGGGCAGAGGAGTTGTCACACATACACATTGGATATTGAGCATAAAAGGTTTGGAAGGGAGCACCTTTATTTCAGTAGCATTTACAGCTGCAGTGCTCCTGTTCACTCTGTTACTGTGTTGGGAAACCACTGCTCACCAAGGCATTGCACGGATCTCTTTGTCCACTGCAGAGTGTGTTCTTGGTCCATACAACGCTGGCCAAAGCCAGGGCTGCTATCTCTGAAAAACAGCGCTCCAGGGCTAATTATACAGCTTCCCCAGGGGCAGTCAGACCCATTTCATTAAAGTCTCCATTATGGCCTGCTGAATGGAACAGGAGCTCTTAATTAGGGGGGAGAAGTATATGCCTGAGGGCAATCCTACCTACCCACCAAGGGATTTCTGCTTTATCTCTCCCATTCATCCCAGGAGGGTGACAGTGTTCAGCAAAACATGACATGCACCCTATTAATATGATGTTTATCCTGTTACAACCAAAAGCAAAAGCAAATGGAACAAGATTATTAGCTGTTTAAAACTTTTGCTGTAATCCATCGCATATTTTGTGTTCTGGAAACATCCCTCCAGCTGAGAAGGTATTCCCTATCGGAGGGACTGCTTGACACTCACTTGGAAAAGAACCCCATGGCCATGGCAGGCAGCCTTCTTGAGTGCCTCATTTGCAACCATTTCCTGCCTTTGTCCAAGAGAGATGTTATGAAATCTTCTAGAGTCTACAGTCTATAATGAACCCAAGCTTTTTGCCTGCAATAGAAATAATTGGGGAAGGGTGAGTGACAGAGGGGGTGGAGATAGGAAAATTAGCAGAGCAGAAAGGAAAAAGAATGATAATGCCCCCATTAATTTCACTATCACTTGTGCAATGCATATTACTTCCTCTGAAGCACTTCACTAAACCCTTACAATTTCAACAAGCAAAATTGCGAGCTCTCAACAGTGGCCTTATTGCTGGTATTAGAAAAAGCCTGCAGAAATCTGTTCCCTTGGTTTTAAGATAATGAACCTTTTGACATTTTGATAGATGCTCGGCATTGTTACCGAGCTTTAGAAACTCTTACAGGGGGTACAGAGCAATTCCCTTATGAAAAAAGGAGCAACATGTGGTAGATATCACATCAGTTTTTTAACTGATTGGTTCAGTGGGTAAATGCACAAGCCTCTCACCTTGTGAGGCCTGAGCTTAAATTGAGCACAGTGAGGTCACAGATGTATTAACCTGGTATTCTCACTATTGTCTGTGGGGAATAGTAATCCTAAGTATAGAGCCACAGAGCCCTATACAATTGAATATAGTTTGTATAATGACCATTATTTAGTCACAGGGGGCACAAGATTACATGAGCATGGAGAAAATTGCCCTCTGGCCCTCATCTAGTCAAAAGGTAGAAAACAGTACAAAGGAAACCTGCATTATGCCAAGCAGAGGAATGCTCAGTCTAGAAATTTCTTCATCCTATAGTGGTTATGGCCTTACACTTTTCATCCACCCCATTGCCATGCATCTGGTGGGGGTGGAAGAAACTTTAGAACTTGAATCTGCTGCTGAAAATAAACTGCACCCAACTTTCCCATAGTAGTGCATACTCCATTGTAGTGACCGATGACTCCAGAAGGCTTTGTTCTGCTTAGTAAAAAATAAAACAAACACCCATACATGCTTGTGTGTATGAGAGCATACACACAGGCATATAACCATATATCGATTTATCTACATTTCTACCCCTGCATGTTCCATTTCAATTTTGAGCTCTATTTTCCTTTGGGGGGGACAGTTGCAAGTTGCTTCTGTTGCGATTAAAGCAAGTAAGAGGCTTACCTAATGTCTCAGTATCTTCAAGTGGGTCTACTCTTGAAGCCAGAATGAAAGACATAGTGTGGCTGGATTGCTCACTTAGCATTTTGCTAAATCCATCCTTGCACTTTCCATACACCTTGAGCCAGGCTTTTCTTCCACAGAGTTCCTATATATATGGCAAAACATCCACTAAACATGTTCCTTGATGTTCTTTGATAAAAAAATGTTCCTTGATAAATGGTTCAAGTCTGCACAATCATTCCCGTTTCCCTGTGGGATAGGGACCACATGACAGAAAACAGCAACTTCTGAATGAGAAGGGCCTCTTCAAGAACTAAATCGACGAAACCATTGTATGCAGGCAACAATGGCACATAAAGCCAGTTTTGTCAGACAAGTCGCCACCCTTACACACACTTGCCCTGAAGGATGTACCCTCAGATTTCATACCTCAGAGTGTATGTCACTCTGTCCTAATAGACAATATTATCAGTTTCTCAAAAGACTGGTATTTTTTTTTTAATCTAGTCCTGGGGAAACTTTTCCTTTTCTGGACATTCTGAGTCCACCCACTTCTTCCATTTCTTGGTGGATCTTTCAATATCTTTATCTACCCCACTGAACACAACCATCACAGACACAGCCAAAGACATAAATACAGATGATGTACTTTCCACATGATGACTGAAACAGGATGACACTGATACTTTTGAGTTATGTAAAAAAACCTAGTTTAACTAATTATAAGGGACTCAGGACTTGCCTTAAATTACTAAATTACATATAGCACAGATTTTTTTATTTATTTATATTTATGTTATCCACAAGCAAAGATACATAAAAATAATGTTATTGATAAAAGTTTACTGTGGTTGGTATTGCCATACTGTCTGCTTACTGTTAAACATCAAGATACAACAAACTGGAAACCCTGTATGGGACATTTACTACAGAAAGGAGTGGCATGAAATAAAATTGTATTTTTAGGAGCTGGACAAATTATGGCAAAATAGAATTTCCTCACAAAGTACAGTATGAGATGTCTAAGGAAAAATGCACCCAAATAGCAAAGAAAGCTTCTTTTTGAAAGCATCACCGGTTTTACTAAAAGAAATACAGTAGAATGTATGACTTTATTTGAAATTGTCTAGTTGAGGCATGTGTCCAGAAATAACACCAAAAAAGATTTAGAACTGAAAAGCAATTTTCCCAGACTACTCTAATGACACTCCATTACTGAGTACTTAGGAAGTCAACAGGACTCACATGTGTTCAACTCTGAATCGAAGAAGGAAATCCAGTTCAAGGGATTCTATTTCTTTACTTCTTAGAAGAATCTTGACAGCACACAAAATTTAAAAAGGTCATCAAACTTGCTTCAGAGCCACTTCTGCCTCCCAGTACAACTGATACCTGATTTTTCCCAGGGTATACAGACACTAAAATTACTTTACATAACAGATCAACTCTAATTATCCAAACACAAGCAGCTAAGTCACGCTATTTATCCTCAACATAGCTTCATGAAATCGTTGCAGCATTTTAAATGAAAATAATTACATGAAAGCATCTTTGGAATTTCTGCAATTATTGATACTGAAGCAGCAGTCCCCCTGTGCCAGAAACTGCACAGCCACAGGGTTTGAGCACACAGGCATCACTTTATAGTGAAGAAACAGCAAACCAAATAAATATCAGTGTCACCAATCAGAAATTTTTCCTCACCCAAAAAGCTCTTTGGGCCAGAAAAATGAGGTTATCCTTTTCAAAAAGTCCTTGGCTTGTGAAAGAAAGGTTGAATATGTGACAACTTCTCTCAGGTTAGAGATATAACATTGAATATCCCCTGATTTTTCAGTCTATTTAATTGCTTTGTGGCAGACACATTGAAGGACTGAAAGTTAGTACAATTATTTTATTTATTTGAATTTTGCTTTTTTGCTTTTCTACTCATAAGGTAATTGGTTTCTTACAGTAAGCTTCTAAGAAGAGGTGACCTAAGAAGTCTAAAATATAAGGCACTTCTGCCTTTCAGCAAACCAGGGGTGAGGGCTGCTAAGAGCAATACTCTTCTGCTTCCTTATTTAACTCAGCAAACAGAACCTCTCATTTAAGCAAGTTGGTAATTTTGTAGCCAGGATCTCCCTTACAGCATTAGATTATTTGGTAGATTTACTGCAGTGAATTGTTTATACAGATTTTCTCCAAACTCTTCCTTCCTGACCCCGTGGGATGACTTAAGGAAGGCAAACTTTGCAAGCCCAGTCAGAAAACGCTGTCAGAATGGAAACAGCCGACAAAGAGACCCGTGGGAATGTACCCTGTTATGGACCGGCAGGAGGCCACATCGTGTTCTCCTTCCTCAAACACACAGCCCTGAAAATGTAAACATCTGGTACAAGTAGTAACTATTGTATCAGGCATCACTGCTGGAGGCAGAATTTTGTTCCTTGCACTTTGAAACCAATTACGCCAAACTGGTAGCTGGGGTTGATGCTGCCTAGGCTGATACTGACAGATCAAGGAATGGATGCTCTTAAGGCTGTTGGTCTGTAATGCTCCGTGTCATGTTAATTTGAGCTTCATTTTCTTTGGTTTCAGCTATTTATAGGATGACTGTTGTCTTATTTATTTTTTAGTGTGCCACAATTATCCCACACAATTACCTTAACATTCTTATCCGTACAGGATAGGACCTAAAGCACCTAAACCCCTCAAATATATGACAACTACATACAATAGATATGAAACCGTGAATATGTGGGAGGACAGCCCTTTCTGGACAAACAGGAATTCGACTATTTCTATTCTAGCTCATAGAAATTTTACACTAAAAATAATTAATAATACACATTTTACAGGTGACTTTAAGCTGTTAAAAATAGTTCAACTGTATTACCTTGTGTTGTATTTCTGCTGAAGTTGACTTTATTGATTTGATTTTCTTTACAAGTTCACTGTCATCTAAGAGACTGCCTTGGGCAGCTGACAGTCTGAGCAGCATGCCATCCATCCTCCAGCTGCTGGAGCTCATTCGTGAAACCATTCTGCTGCTTGGCCAGGAGTGATTAACAGAGGGAATGAAAACACTGTATTTGAACAACCACAGCAAGAAATACTGTTTTATAGCATTTGTGAGTTATATTTTCAGTTTAATTACATCAGCTGATTTAATATAATTTCTGAAAGAGACTGTTTATCTTCTCTCCCAGCATAGTCGATCTAAGGTTCTGGACACTCATAGCAAGAAGGACAAGGCTGTCATGGACCAGAACTTTATCTCTCTGCTAGGGTCCTTCCTCCTGAGACTGCACAAAAGGACTGGGATCTTGCCAGCGATGGCAAGTGGTAATCTACATGGCAGCTGAGGAAACAATAAATAGCACAAGGCTGGAGAAGCTCACTTTGGCAGCAAACGTAGTGGTAAAACTTCTCTGCTGGACTGAACTTCTGATAGTGAAAGAGCTTTACTAGTCTTATGGGGTGCTCTCAATCAGACTCTAATCCTCACACCAAAAACCCCAGGTGATACAGGTGTTGTAAGCGTCCAGTCCCAGGTGGAACAATGTGCAGATGCAGATGGTCAGAGGAAAAGGGACAGCTGTTTTCAGAGTGTGTTCCCAAGTATACGGCTTTCGTTCTTCAAGGGGCAATTAAACTCTCTGACCCAGTTTGCCCTTGTATGATGCAACAGTACCTCAAACAGGTGTAACAAATCTTTGGAGATGAAATTAGTAAATTACATGAGATAACTGGAAAGACACACTAGAGACACAGGAAGTATTCTTGTTATCAATTTCATAGCCTTAAGTAATTTTTCTTTCTTTTTCATCTCATAGATGACAATCTGCTCAAAGTCCTTTCTATAACCACCAATAAAAGCATTTCTCCTCATAGGTTACTATACATTGGTATGACTGCAGCAGCAACTGCATCCTTGCAGCGATAAATTGTGATCTATTAACCAAATATCCCAGCTCCTAACAGTGCCATCATATCCTCTTATGGACTGGCATGAAATTTTATTTACATTTATTGGCTTAAGATCACTGAAGCATAAAGTACTGGAGAGGGCTCTAATCCTGCTTTGTAAATTAAATGCAATGCACAGAGCAAACCAAGCAGTAGCAAGAACTGTGGGAATAATATCACAATAAATTTTAACTTCTAGGAGAGCTTTAGGTCAAGATGAGCCCTCTGGGAGTGCAGATTTGAGCAAATCAGTAGAAGTACTTTCAACACTTTGCAGAATCTGACCCTTACATTTTTCTCATATATAGGCTACTAACAATTACTGTACAGCTGATTCAAACAGGCATATTAATTCTAGCCTTAAAATCCTGGAACAGGTAACAGAAAAATAAAAAGATAGTCTTTACCTTATGTTTTTATAAGTGTTGTCTTTCAGGACTAACAACCTCAGTCAACAGCTGGTCTTCCAGCCTGTCCCCAGTGACAGAGAAATTAATGAGAGTGGTCTGAACCTGCAGTTCTCTCTTGTAGTGAGGGTTAGCCAGCTTAGTGTGAAGGATGAGACAGAAATTCTTGTTGAATTCACATTTTTTGTCTTCAATCTTGATAAATCTGGGAAGGAATAAAATGCACTAGAATGGGGATCTCACTGAATTAAAACCCCATAAGTATCTCAGATTGAAAAAGATGGGTACTGCATGACCTTGGCAGCATAGAAAATGCATATAAACCAAAGTTTATGTGCCTGCAACTTAAGAAACAAAATGAGGATGATTGAACATACCAAAATTATATGAAGAATACACAGAGTATTTCTTAATTGGCATAGTTTAATTTGCATATACACCAGACACCAGGAGATTATTCACTGCTGTCCTGAAGAGTCTGTGGCTTAGAGATGTCTGTAGTCATTACTTACCACAAACTTAGCAAAGTTTTCAAAGAAACCCTAATGAGATAGTTGTTAATTTTTACTACAATTTCCTTACATATAGCTCACTTCTCCATCTTCTGAAATAGCTCAGCAGTAAATCCTAAGCAGATACATATTTACAGCAAACTGATAGTGACCAGAGGAGAGAGAATGGCCGGTGACTGAAATAAAAAAAATATTTTTTTAAGGTAATCTACTAGATGTTCCAAATCAATTATTTGCTGGCTGAAAGATTGAGTTATACTAAGCTCACCTTTTATTCACTGAATAAAATCTAATACCCAAGAGATGTAATTTCCTGGTCCCCCATCTTGAAAGAAAGGTGCCTGCCCTATACAGCAACACTGCTACTGCAAAAGTACCATTTGGAGCCTGGCAGCCAGGCAACATAAAGTTCACCTTCCTACCTCTGTGGCACAGTACCAAAAAAAAAAAAAAAAGAAAGACTGCTTATAGGCTGCAGTGTGTGCTCTGTGTCTGGTCTGGTGTGGACCAGTGACACAACTTTTTATCATCTGCTTGCACAGTGAGCAGTATGTCAATTTTCAGGGTTCACCTGCCACACATGAGCACAAAGCCAGTGTTTCTGTACAGCAATGGCTTTGAATGTTCTCTGACAAGAAAGGAGATTCAAATATTAGTAATAAAACAGTTAAATAAAAGGTCAAAATTCAAACTGGCATTTGTTAACTCAATTTTCAAAGTGATTGCAATACTATAGATACTAAACACTTAAAACACAACTCATGAAAGTCACATCAGAACATGAATAAAACAAGTACTTTCTGTAAAATTTTTAACATTGCATTCTTTCTAGTCTACCACAGGGCATTGCTGGAGTCACGGACATACATTTTAGCTCTTAACATCCTTGCCTGCTTCTGACATGCCCTCAGCCAGAAGACAGTCTTAATGAAATGGTGTGCTGAGACCCTTCTGCATTTCACCAAGGATCAGGAAGAAATGACAGTTGCTTATTATATACTGCAAGTGATTTCTTAAAAACCCCTGATATGTCTGGTGCTAGGAAACCCATGGCTCTACAATACTCAATTTCAGACACGTGTGTGGTATAGTACTACCAGGCCAACTACTGAAGATGGGTTTTCCAGGCTTATGTGTGTAACCATACAGTCATGTCCTTCAGATTATACAACCTTTGTCAGCTGGACATGAATTCACTGTTCAGTTCTGAGACATGGTCACTATACAGCTTTCAAAACTGGCTACAGCTGGAGGCAACAAAACAGTAGAGCTTGACAAGGAGAAATCAATTTTCCTTTGCTTTCAATACACACACACACACAGAGATTAGACAAGAAGAGATCTGACAAAAGACAAGTTCTTCAGTTTGCTTTGTCAAGGGAAAAACCTTTGCTAAGGGAGTCATCCCATATTTCAGAAGGTCTGTGTGGCAATATACTAAGCTTTGGAGTTCTGGATTCAAATACGTCCTTTGTGGGTTCTCAATTCACAGAAGCACTATGAAAGGCAAAAACTACATAATGACTCAGTGGGTTTTATTACTGCAGCTGTTCTAGGGTTTCTGTTAACCACAGGTTTGGGAAAAAGAAATGTTTTGTTATTGCTCTTGCATGGTTCAAGGAGTATATGCAACAATGATAAACACAGAGGTAAGGTAATCCAGTAGGATGACTTCATCTTTCAATGAAATGTTTCTGTTTAGAGGTTAATTCTGAATTACGAAGAGATGTAGCAACATAGGCACTAATAATGGAAACACATGATAGAAGGATTATTAAAAGACAGTCACCAAAGAAATTTCTAAAAGCAAATTCTACTTTAGGCAATGTTTTCTTCATAATCTCCTATTCCATCAGCAAAGGCAGATAGAATGGATGGAATAAGTGTATCACTCTACCCAGGAATAGAGAGGGAATCTTTCACATGAGTTCAATCTCCCTCTTATTTAAGAACATACAAAGTAAATTAAAGAGAGATTGCTCTCCATTAGTTTTTACCTGTTGAAATTCTTGTAGATTTTGAAATAAAGTAGATTAAGGGATTCAAAAGGGATTCACAAAGCACTTTAAAAATTCCGTACACGCCTTGAGGAATAAATTGGTTTTTAGCAAAAGCAAATATAAACCCAAATAAATTCCAGAATGTAACATGAGCATTAAACTGTCAGCTATAAGAAGACTAGGAATATTACAACATCTGGTCTGATCTGTCAAAATTTGATTTATTGACATAAAGACATGCTATTCCCTTCCACCTGTCCTGCCTAAGGTAACAATGCCTAGGTCTTCCAAAGACAGGATCTCACAGAGGTGAAAAAAATTTGAATATAAGAACCTGACTTTATATCATGAAACAGCTAGAGAGTTTATGCAACATCTTTTCTTAGCAGATACTTTCAAGCATAAAAAAAGCGTCTTCCAGGGCAGATGTTCTCCAAAACATGCCCTGACTGTTAATGGCAGAATGGTAGGATAGTTTCCTTTAGCGAGATGTTTTGGATCAGCTCAGCAAGAATGAAAAGAAGTGGTAAATTCTTGGACAGCAAAGGAAAGGGAAACAATATTTTTCAGTGGGAAGAAAGAGGCAGAAACGCATTTTCTTAAGGAGCCTTCTTTCAGTTCCTGCTGGTTAAAATGAAAAGCTTCTGGAACTGACTTGCAAACTCCAACAAGTAATGCAGAGAATGGAGTTGAATAAGTCAGGTGAAAACAAGTGCAGAATGGAGCTGTTACTAGGCAATCTCAGCAGGCAAACTGTGCAAGTTGGTCAAACTAGTTCAGTGGGAAAAGCACTGCCTCGAAGTTGCACAGCCGGCAAGAAGTTCAAGGCAAGGAAAGCTTCTCCCTGTGGAGAAAGCGAGTGAATTGTCTTGCTGCTTTATGAATAATAGTCATGCCACTTAAGAAGGGAAACTTGTCCATACAAGCTACATTTGCCCATAAATCAAATTTCAAGACATCTTAAGGAATTTTGTAGTAACCTAATCTTGCAACTGAAGAGACATGACTACCTCTTTGTGACTGTGCAAAGGATTTGAGCAGGTGTAACAGCTCATGCTGCAGCAAAAATGAGTCTTATGGACAATAAATTTATTCCTCCGTCTTCTCTCCTATGAGTCAAAATGACATTGATCTACTGTAGTTAATACTCATATCCAGTGAGCTTCAAAACAGCAGTGCTGCAGAGACAGGATAGGAAATACACAGGTAAAATTCAAATATCAAAGGCCATCTGTACCAAAACAATTTAATGGCATCATTCCTCTTATAGGAGGCTAGGGCCAAACCATACACCACTGTAGAATTGGTACCTGATTACTTTTATGCCTTGACTTATCTGTTCCAAAAAATTTTGGTATTTGCATTTTGAATCATTTCTGCATACATTCCTAATAATAATAATGGCCAGTCTTCGCGAGCGAAGATCCGGGGAAGGTCTTTCCACCTTCCAGCCTGCGCATTGGATTTTTTAGGTGAGACACAGTGTGCGCGGAACTGAGCCCACCCTTTAATCCTAAGGTTCATCTGCCGGGGCCAAGCGAGCTTGGACGGTGGCAGCGAGGTCCTCAGGACGTAGGTGGGTTGCCTTTTTAAGGGCTAACGAGCCCCACCTGCCCGGGAGTGGCCCTGACCGGGAATCGAACCCGGGTCTCAGCGGTGATAGCGCGGCGCCTTTACCCCTAGACCACCAGGGGCTCCACATTCCTAATATGTTGGACCCAAATTTTACTCACTTTTTTTCTAGTGCCCTTTATGCTTATATACAGCTATGTATTACAACTGATTTTTTTTTTGAAATTATTTTATGTTTTTCCCTTTTCTCCTTTTTCTTAAATCAAATATCCTGAAATATTTTAGCAAAAATCTTATAATTTTAAAGCCATTTTGAACATAAGGCCACAGTCTAAAGTGCATCGTTGCCTGAAAGAATCGGTCGCGAACCAAAAATTACTCACCAGGCACCAGTAGAGATGAGGTAGAGAGCAGTTTTAACAGAAGACCTTCAACCATGGGACGTGCACGCCACATGTCCAGAGGGTTCCAGATGTATTCGCCCCCCAGTTCTGGCCCCACCATACTCCTCTGGAAACTGAGTCAAGGCTCTCTAAGACTCCCCCTTCCTCATCCTCCTCTTTGTCACAGCATGCCCAGTCCTTGGAGCCCCTCCGAGGTTCCGGGTTTTGAAGGTTGCTTTGTCTGATGGTGTATCTTCTTGTTCAAGCCAGGGTGCAAATGTTCTTAAACAGAATGAAGGCCTACCTTGAGAAAAGTCTAAACAAGCTAAAGGAATCTAGAAAGTTCAATGCAAAATGGGGAAAAGGGTTTGGGTAAGTGGAAACTACTGTGCTAAAGTGTAAGGGATTATACAGCTACATTAAAATCTACGTTTACTGCACAACTACTCCTAAAATATACAAAAAGCTAAAAATCCAGAAAAGCCCTAGGCATCACATTAAGAACAATGGAGCAGCTTTGCAGCTCCAAAATTAAAATTAAAAATGGATCCAAAGTTGAACACCTTTGACTTGTTAGGCTTTTAAATATATACCATGGTGCTTAAGCATGAAGTCTGTTTCTCAGAGATAACAAGTACATGTAGTTCACCTTGCAGTCACGTGGTTTTGAGGAAAATATAAATTATATCCATTTGAAGTTCTTCTAAGCTGAGAATTTCTTTTGCAGGCTTCATTCAGAAACAATACCAGGAGTTGATGTTACAGAATATCCAAGAATCCAACAGAAGAAACCATCTTGGTAAACAAGGAAGGTGGAAAAGTACTTTCATGAAGCTGCTTCACAGATCAGCAAGTTCTCTAATAAGAAGGCTAGTAAATGTGCTTGGGAAGGAGTACAAGTTGATAAATCTCCCTTGCTATGCTTTCTGTCGATTAATATGATAAGACATATTTTACTTAAAATTAGGATTGTCTGAAGCTCAGTGGATTTAATTATTTGTAATTATCCAGTTGTTGTCAGTATGTGGCCATTTTATGACAGTGGTATCTACTGTGTGGGTCAGGTTCAACTGTACATCTTTTCAAACACAGAATTAATGTACTATTGATGAAACCATTACTAGAACCAAATTAAAGTCTGGGCTGATGTATTGGTCCATGGGGTGCTGTCAGACATGAAAGGAGTAATTAGTATTCATTACTTCATACTCTGCAACATTCCAATTATTAATGAACTTCAACTGCTGGACTGCACCATATCTATCACAAATACCTTTCTAGTCTTTCTTTATTAGGAAAAAAATTTCAAAGTACCTGACACAACTACTAAAAAAAACTAACGACAGAAATGAATCCAAAATGAGGAAAACTCTGCTTATTTGGTAATAAAGGGTTCTATATATTACTAGTGCCCCACAAAGGAGAGCTGTGCATCTTCAGTGAGGCATAGAATGCTAGGTCATGTAATGCTGCCTAAAATATTCTGCAGAAGGACCTATTTTTAATAGCTTCATACATTTGCATTTGCGTCCATGTGCACAGCTCTGTTGTGCTACATGGAAGACTTTACTAAGGCAAAACTGCATTGCTGTGACCCTTGTCCTTTTCAATCCAATTTATTTCTATTTCTATTCCCTCTCTCATGCCTTAAAGATCTGTTAGCCAGTGAAATTTCTGATCTCTCTTTTAGACCAGTATAATTCTAATTTTCAGTAGAGTTTCTTCACTATGGATTATAAAGCAAGCCGTATGCTCTTACTCTGAAATATTTCAAATACCTCTATAGAAAAATGTAACGAAGAGGGATCATTTCAAGGTCTCACAGTGCAGAGCAAGAGTGCATCTTCCAGGAGTTTCATGTATGCAAGGAGATTTGAGCTGTTTTGTACTGCCTAGATTTTCTCTGCAGTCACTAGTGTCTGAAATATGGGAGAAAGGAGGGAGAAAAAGCTTTGGTAGTTTCTCCAAAACTAGATACTGTTTTTATTTATCCTTTTATTCATATTTTCTCTTTTGACAATCTGAAACTGTGCAAGCACTCTAAACACTCTGAGCAGCATTTGAAACCCCTTCAGAAATGCTTCAGGAATATCTTTGACTTTATATTAGAATAAACATTATATTCTTCAACATGAAAAGTCTAGCTTGTTGATGTGTTGTTTGCAAACAAGACTAGAAGAGAGGAATATTTTCAGACAAAAATAAATCCATATTTGAACATAAACAATAGCATGGCATTTCAATTCATCAGATGAAACATTTGATGAGGTTTACAAAGTGTACTCTCATGCAACCACAAAGCAATATTATTATTTAGGTTGACAGCTGCATAGAAGTCTCAAAAATCACATTGGAAGTTCTCGTGAAAAGTGATGGAAGACATTACAGACTGAAATTCTCTTGCACTGAGTACAAGCTCCTTTATTTTCCCTATTATCATCCTGAAAATATGTATCTAATGGTATCTAAATTAGACCTTAGGAAATATTTTCATGACATTTTCTAAGTTTGACAATAACTTGTCAAAATCTAGGGGGATAAAGGGGCACATGAATGAGAAATGAGATTACAGACACTCCAAAAGGGACAGAACACAAGGTTACCCCCCCCTTGTACCATCTACCACTCCTGCCACCTGCTGTGTCAGAACAGATAAAACAAACTAACTCAGCTTTTTTTGTTACCCAATTTGAACTTGAATCTCTGATTTGAATGCCCAGCCACAAACCTCTGGGGTGGAGCTCACAAGGCTGGCACATCTGTAGCCCTTTCACTGGGAGGGGGAGATCAGAGCAGTCCCTGAATGGTTATTTGGAGCACTCACATGAGAAATGGGGCACATGAGTTTTGTTGCTAACAGCCTATGTTCCTAGGTAAAACTGAGGAGACGAGCACCACCATGACATCTGCCTCAGTGGATTTGTGAGAACGACCAGCTGGACTGATTTGATGCGTGGGAGGTTGGCAATACCACTGTAAAGGGTTACATTGGCTTACTTATTCCTGCCCTTCTGCCCTGTGTTCTACCATACCAGTTTTCCCTCAGTACCCTTACTTTTTCTTTTTTTTTTTTTTTTTTTCTCCCTTATTTTTTCTTTTTAAACGAGTTCATTGATTTATTTCATGGGGTGGCTCAAAAAGCAGTTATGGCAATTCACTGCAAAGTGGAGGTACAGCTTTCTTAAGCTGATTTTGCATCTGGAAACCCCTATATTGTTAAATGCAAATGTAATTTCCACTATTTTCCCTTTTGCTGTAGATGCCTAACATGGAAATGAAATACTTTCTTTTCTTTTGAGCCAAACTATAATATTTGCTCCTCCTTGTTTTATTCCTTTTTGAAGTAGAAAAAAAGGTAAAGATTTCTACTTTAGTATGAGAAACACACATCTGTATTGTATTTTGAGTCCAATTTGCAAACTGAGAAGAGAATTTTGCTATCTAATCAGATGCAGATATTAACATTTTAATATCCACTCATCATCAGTTTTTAGTCAGTGCATTTCAAAAAGAAATAATTTATTTCATGAAGTATTATGAAGCAGTAAGTAAAATGTGGAAATCAAAGCAATACAGATCCAGTTGTCATTAAAAAATTATGATTACTCAAACATACCTTCCCTTTTTAACTGCATGTCGTCCAAGCAAGGGATCAAGTATGGGATCAATAGATTGACCTGCATCTTCAATTAGTATTGTCTCATCAAAAGCCAAAGCTCTTTCAATGGTCTTCAGAAAAGTTGACCTGAAAAATAAAATAAATAAACCCCTCAAATATTAGATAAATGCTGGTTATCAAAAGATTTCATTTATAAAATATAAATGTAGAAGCTTTTCTGAAAGAACATTATTAAACCATGCAAAACTGTTCACAAAGAATTTCCTAGTGGTTGAGAGTTTGACAGTCTTGAGGTCAGCATCTGTCTTTCTACCTATGCTCTTGCTAGTCCTCATATTAAAAAAAACATATATTGCTGAGGCTTTTCTTATAAGCAAATATGAGGGTACAGCCCCACACTGAAGATACTGGAATTAATACAGAGATTTTGGGGGAGCACATAAATACTTCATCTTTTGTTTTTTTTTTATATTTTATGTTTTTGTATTACAGCTTTTGGTATCATCTAAACAATAAATACTTTCTCGAGGGGTTAGAATCTGAATAACTTGGGAGAACTCTTTCCACAGGCATGGAAAAGGGAGTAGATAAAAATGTAGGGATAAGTAAGCAGACAATATAGCTTCACACAGCAGGGTACTACAGGGTATGAATGGAAAAATCACAATTATTTGTATGGGTTGGAAAAGAATGAAAAACAAATCAGGGCAGGTGAGGGAAAAGAGTTCATTCAAAGCAGATGGGTTAGATGATTAAGATATATTTAAAAAATCAGGCATTACTATGGCCATTCACTGTGTTGTGTAATTGTGTATTATATCTGGAATTCAGTAAAACAAACTTTGAAATGGAGAATCATCTCCCTAAATCTAAGTAAAGATAAGAAAATATATGAACAGATCAATTACATGCTAGTGCTATCAACTTACATATAATTCAGTAATATTTTGCTTTGGATGCTGCACACCGGGTTAAATCTTTCCCTCTGTGAGATGCACATGCTGTGTTCTGCTGACTAAACTGTACAGGTTAAGTAAGGTCATCTAGCTTTACACCTTACCAATGGGAAAAGCAATTTACCCCTCAAAAGAAAGTGCACCTCAACCTCCACTTTCTTTCCAACCTCTACTTTATTTCCTCCTCAACACTTGAAAACATCAAGTTTCATTTCAAGCACCTGTTTAAATGGAAAATGATGCTATGGATAAATAAGCAGCAGTGTTGCAATATTTCAAGTCTTTAGGTAAGTGCATTCCAACAAACACCAATCCTTTACAACAATTAGAGGAACTTGAGGGCAGTAAACATGAAAGCTAATTCTTCAGCATGTGCGTACCCTTTCTGTCCTAGACGTATGACTTAAGGTCAGCTCTGCATGTATTCTTTATCCATTTAATTCCCTGTTGCTGGGGATCTATCATCAGAGGTCAGCACTCACAGTTTCTTAGAGAAGTGGCATTTTCTGTTGACATCCTATCACCAGGCAGTCTCTCGTTACTCCATGCTGCAGTCGTAGCATCATCCGTCAATGTGGCAATTGGGTCCAGGCCCTCCATCACAGGAAAAGGAACCTTCTTGAATCAGAGTGGAATATAATCATCCAGCAAGGTTACCAAGTAGCAAGACATGCTCAGTGCAAGGAACAAGAAAACCGGGCTGATATAAATTAAAGTAAGGCAGAAAAGTAAGGAGGATCCCTGGGGAGTTTCAAATGCAAAAGAATATTCTAGGAAATGTGATGAGAAGCAGTTTATCATATTTAAAACAGATTCAAAAAAATGTGTTTTCTCTTAAGATATTTACTTCATAAAAATATTTATAGTTCAATAATAGAAAAAACCCCACTCTATATTATAAATTTCAGTGTATTCTGATAGTGAAAATTCAATACTTATCTATGCTCTCAAGCAGCTATTTCTGGAACATAAATCAGTATTTATCCACACAAAAATTATAAAACCAGGATTCCCATGGCATCTTATTAATATACTTCAGCTGTGCTCAAAAGCCAGAGAATGGGACCATCTTTGAGGGCAGAGGCAGCCTTGGAGCTCCCTGTGGGGCACCACGTGCAGCATTGATCTTTGTGAGTGCCTGTTCACCGAGAAGGGAGCTGTGATAGAGCAGCCATCAGACAGCTATGCTTGTTGGATGCTACACTGTCACAGGCATTTACATGGAGATGAAAGCAAAAAGAAATAGAGCATCTGAAACCAGTGCTTACTGAACAGGTATGGGTGGTAAGGGAAATGCCTAATACAGAGTAAGAGAGAGGGAATAAGTTAGAAAAAACAAAAGTGGCTGGTGGAAGCATAACAGAAGCTTTATACCAGATGCCTGGAACTGATTTTTTACTTGCTGAAGCAAAGGGCAAACACACATCAGTTCCTTCATGGTGTTATCCAAGACTTCCTTACTAGTGGGTTTTGGATTGAATTCAAAACCTATAAACAAAGGAAAGCATCATCAGTATTAAGCCTGAATGATTATCTATCCCATTCAGAAGTGTCTTAAAAACTCTTCCATCAAAATTTTCCTCCTCCCTGGACATGTCTAGTCCTCAGTGTTGGCTTGTAGCCTGGAGCATCTTTCGAAAGTACACACTGAAATAAAATAACCCATGTATATCTGGTGGTTATTTATAACTAAAAGCGTTACATCTATTTAATCTGAGCCAAAATTGCACAATTATTAGTAATAAGGAGGGCACCACACCTCTAGTGCAGTTTCTGTGGCACGTCATATTATTACAAAATGAATAACATTTTAAATTGTCTAACCCTAGATTCTATTCTCTGAGCCCAAAATAAACCTAACTTTTGATGAATTTGCTGAAAATACAGGAACAAAAGTCCCAACAAGCATACACTGCCCTCTGCAAGCATGCAACATATCTGTCTCCCATGTGTAACACAATCCTCTAAATAAGTCAAAAGACTGAAAACATGATTTGTTTTATCTCTGGACTGTAAGACAACTGATACAATCGTTTCCATGAGCTGAAATACTTCCTTGTGAAAAACACTAGCACTGGGGTATTATTAGGGTTTCTAATATTAATTTTCACACAGTGCAAGGAAAATATAGATACATCTATTGTGACTGTATCTGTGCAAAGCTGATAGTTCATGGCATAGAACTACTTGATGTTCCTTCCAAAGATGACTAATACTAAACAGTACTACTGCCAGTACAAGTGTTTCCAACAATATTCAGTGAAAACAAAAAAAAAAAAAAAAAAAAAAAGAAGCTGTTTTGACCTCCATAAAGATGTAAATTCTACTTTTTTCTCATATTTTTTTTTTTCCAAGGGAAGGAGCAAGACAGTAGAGTTGGTGTCCCTGCCCATGGCAGGGGGGATAGAACTTAGATAATTTTTAGGATCCCTTCAAACCCAAACAATTCTATGAAGACTTACAGGACTTTTGTACTCTTATTTATCTGCCTTTTACCTAATAGCTCCAGATGTTTTACTCAGTTAAGGCTGCATGATTTGAAATTATGACAGGAGGAAAGATGAGGGTGGCCAAACACACAGGTTGCAGAGAGGTTGTAGAATTTCCATGGCTCTGGACAATCTGGTCTAACAAATACAGTTTGGGGCAGTGGGGGTGGATTATTTCAGAAGGTTCCTTCCAGTTGCGATGATACTGTCAAAGTTCTTCATATTTTTTTTTTTTTACAGAGAACCCCAATTTCCCTTGTGCACTCTGCAGAGGTTATCTTAACCATGCTTACCCTGGGATATTTTGTATGAATAGTCAGGAATGGTCTCAAATATTGATGATTTCTTATAAGTAGCGATGTGGAAAGCTGTCATTTTATTCCAGTTATGTTTTACAAACAGCCCACCATCTATTTAAAATGTTGAAATGGTGACAAAAGGATTTCAGAAAAATGAATGTATCTTCTTTAAAGAAAGTTAATGTTTAAGTTATGAATAATCTCTTTTTCAATTGGGATATGTGACATGACATAAAACCCAAACTAGCAGTATTTGGCACATTATACTTTGATTGTTCTGTGTATGCAATTCCCAGCAAAGGAATGAATGTATGCATGAATGCATGTTCAGAGAGCTTCAGCATGGAAAGGTAAGGTAAAAATTTATCATCCATTAGAGTAATCTTCAAACTCATGAAATTCTAGATGTAAAATTTGAATAGACTGCCATAACATTTCTTCTTTGTTTAGTCTTGTTTGAAATACTCCAGAAAAAATAATTTCACAGTTTATTCACTTGCATCAGGGAAACCTCAGGAAATCATTCTCCAGTGAGTAGAGGAACTGAAGCAAAGCAAGGACCAGGATGAAAGAAGGAAAGCACCTTATAAGGACTGTTCTTTACCCATAAAGACATTTGTCTGTATGTCCATACACACATTTGTTTTTCAAGCAATGACAGTAATCTAATAATATTTTTCCAGTCCTTTATATGATGCAATCAAAAATCGATGGAAATCTCTGAATAGAATGTATACTCCATACTTTATATAATTTCTTGTTAAATGCTTGCTTTTTGTTGGTGTCAGCTGCCTTAGAGCTTAAAAGAATACTCTTAGATGTGCTTGTTCTTGAAAGCTTTACAAATTATAAAATCAACTAATAATATCCACTCACTCTCATTTAAAAAACCAATTTTCTATCTGTACACAAAGTAAAAAACTAATTGTTAAATTTTTTATTCATTCAGTATTTTCCATTGATATTTTTCAGAAAAAATCAGAAATATTTACTGAAATAGTTAAACATCCTATCTTGTGAAGACAGACAGAATTCTACGACCACAGAAGACTCAGACTCTTTTGTTATAAAAGAGGAATATAAAGTAGCCACTAAGAAAAAAGAAGTATCTTTAATCAAAGTATGTGCTTGAAAGAGCTAGCGTGTAAATGTTTCACATTGTAAACACAGGAACTTGGTGTGTGAAGGCCTCCTAAACCCCTATACCGTTCATAAGAGATACCCAACAAATTACATGTAAAGGACCATTCCTGTTGAAGGCTCTAACAGCAACCTTTGCAATATAGGAGTTTTGTTTTGAAGTGCTTTAGACATCCATTTTTGCCTACAGAAGTCATTGGATTTTTCTTTAAATCATTAACTGAAGGCAACAAGACAATAAATCCATTAATTTACAAGCGGGCTTTTTGATTTATCCATTCTCTCTTCTCGTTGTCACTAACTGGTAAGTCATAAACAATAAAGAGCACCCACCTCATTCTCCAAAATAGCTTTGAAATTTGAAGATTTACTAAACATAGAATGATTGTCTATTTAAATCTTCAGTAATTTTACCGTACCAGCCAAGCACCATAAATCACTAGTGACATTGGCTAACAAGGGTTTAAGAGTTGGAACATGCAGTGTAATAAATTTCCAGACAGTTAAAAATCACTATAATTTTATTCTAATGCATTATAGATTGCCTGTAATGTCATCCTGGCCGGGGTGACCCATTTCTAATTTTGAACAGCTGTTCAGCTCGGGAGTTAGTTAATGATTAAATATAAATTGCCTGATTTATTAGTCTGAATGGCTGAGCTTCCAGGTCAATGCTATATAGACAAAATCATCAGTCTTGATGCTTTTCAGAAGTTAACTGTCTCCTGTTCTAGTCAAAAAGAATTTACTCTCAGAGGAAAAGGCCTGACATTCTCAATTAATCCTTTAAAATATTTTCCCCCTTAATTTACACAATAAAATCACTAATAAAACTTCAAATTTTGGAGACAAACTTCTTTTAACAATGTGTAAATCTTCAAATCCAGGACTTGGACACTAGCTATGGGTGAAGGCTGTTGACTTCCACAGACCTTCCAGAGGATCTGGAGGTCTGCAATGTCAGGCCAATAGGGAGCATCTCATGGGGCAAACAAAAATTTTCATGTGCAGGTAGTACATCACCTTCACTGGTTTTCTCCCAAATAAGAGATTATTTACATATTTTTCATTTCTAGCATATTAATTTCAAAATTAGGTAAAAAACCTGATCTGTTTTAATTGCACTGGGTTTTCTGGATAGCTTTATACTCTTACAATAATTTTTTCCAAACTGATTTCATCTTGATTTCTAGCCTCTGCTGAGAGATTTGCAGAAACAAGGATATTCACACTCTGGTCTTAGAAAGCAAGGTCACAAGGATTTTAAGAAATTCAACTGAAAATATTTGTTCAGACTGGCTTGGGAACTCACACAGTAGTGTGAATATCCTTTGTACTTTGTATTTCCTGTCATATATATAAATTTGTCCAAAAGGACGTTAAAATTCTACGTGTTGAATTGAGAAAGCACGATTTCTGTAAAGATCTAAGAGAGACTCATTGCTCAGCAATGCTGGCAATGCTGTGGCTGACTTGAATGGTTACTGGCCGTTAAAGAGGCATGTGTTAGCTTTAATGATGTTTGTCTGCAAATAAAGCTAATAACCACACTGAAATATATATAATTTTAACATAAATACATTTCATTCTTATTTCAAAATTAATAGTTTCTGTAAAAGAGGAAAAAAATGAAAGCAATCAGCAAATATCTGACTGGTGCCTTCCACTTATTTACAATCTAAAGTGCAATAGGGGCAGATGCAGGGCTACTCCATCCTGACCCAGAGAATTATTCAGTCTTTCTGCTCATTAACTAGAAGCTGCCCAGGCTGTCACAATGTGTTCACAGTTGTATATAACTGTGGTGACTTAGTTATCAAGATTTTTCTCCAGCAATCATGCCAAAATCAGTTTCTCAGCAATACCTGATTTTTAGAAAATAAAATTATGGTACGGCACATTTTACTTCTCAGGATTTTGTTGCGAGTTTATCTGTGGTTTGAGGTTGTTTGGTTGAGTCCTTTTTTAAAATTTAAATGATTTCTAATAATGGTCACCCTGTCACCTTTGTCATCCCTCTCCTGCCCTGCACCTCCCCAACATTTTTTTTCCACACAGTCTTCAAAAATTTAAGTTTAACCTCATTCTCAACAAAATATTCTAACTATTAAAAAAATCACACTAGGATAAACATTCAGGCAAAATTTTTTGACATCAAGTCAGTTGACCAACCTGTTGGCTAGCTCAGTAATTTTTTTGTTCAGTTCACATCATCTTGACATTGGACTTTGTCTTCAACAGTCTTGTCAATTGGAAATGTGAGCTTACACAGAAAAGGGATAGTATACTATACTAAATAGTATAGTTTAAAGCTTGTTTTGGAGGGTTTTGCTTATTTTTAAATTATTATTATTTTTATTTTAAATAATGTAGTTTAATGACAATAACTGTAGACAGCACCTTAAAGTCTCAAGGATGCAAACTTTAGAGGAAAGGTTTTGCTGTATTCTGTATTCTTTCTGCAGCTCCTGGCACAATATAACTACTCTAACAACAATATAGGCCGAAACAATGCAAAGCCAGAGTTATTATTTTCATTCTGTATATAGGCGTGGTGACATAGGATGATTCATCAATTTGTTCATGGGCAGACAGAATGGCTAGTGGCAGAAAACAGGCAGATCTCCTGCATGCTGATCTGTACCTTGGCCAGAGACCCTTAACAACACTTCTATGCACCCTGTTCAGAAGGTAGTAACATGCCCCTGCTTTGCTTTCAGGGTTTTCATACTGCACGTACCTCAACACAAGTTGCCTCAAACTGGTTTATTTCTGTAGAGTAACTACATAGCTAACAACAGTGAGTTCCACTTTAGGACAAAATTTTCCTATTTCAGGTTTAATGAAAGAACTCCAACAGCAGTAAGGAGTGCATACCTCCACAAAAGCTGGGTGGTTTTGCAGGATCAAAGATTTAGATCTCTTCTGCCATGTTCGGTGCTTGAATTGGTGGTGTGCAACCAAGAAATTCAAAAGTTATTTATAAATTAAAAATAAGAAGTGAATTGGCAAAGGGGGAAAGTTGCGCCTTATAGATTAATAAAGAAGGTTGACTTGATTTCTTTAGAGATAATGAGGCAGCCATTCCACTTTTTAATGGTGATGGATCTCAAACTGAGAGACTAATGAGGACCTATACTAAATAAGGGCACCTCACAGAGGTGGGTTGTAAGTAAAATTTCATCAGTCTAGCATTCAAGGCATAAGAAGAATGAACACAGTAACTGCTCTCTACTCTTTTTTAAAAGAGAATTATTTCTAGACATCTCAAGTTTGCCTGCATGATAACATAGATCTGACTATTGTTCAAATACTTTCATCCATCAAAGGCTCAGGTAGTAAAGATGAGAGAGTGAGACAAACAGTAAGGAATGTCCCAACATCTCCATGGGATTTTTTTTTTTTTTTGATGCATAATAGTCTCCTATATCAGAGTACTTCTTATCCTATGATTTTAGAATAGGAAAGTTGTCACTACAAAACACACCATTCCCTTTTGTTACTCTTTCATAGCACGTAACATAAATAAAGACTTGCAATAGCAGAATTACATACTGCATTTTATACCCCAGCACTACAAATTCTATGGGATAAATCACGTATTTCAAAAATGTTTGTCATTGAGAAAGTTAGTGCCAGTGAACTATGCTCCACAAATCACAGCAGAGAGCCATTACTCTCCACAGCAAGTCTGCTGGACGATGTCGTGGTATAATCCTTTTCAGGCACGGTGTATGTTAAATTCTGTCACATATAAGTATCAATGACTGTAAGGATAAATAATACAAATTGCACCACATCTGCAAAAAGGATGAACTTGCCTCAATTTTTTAGCCTTAACACTAATAAACTTTACTTCCCTCTCTTTTTTTTCTTTTTCTTTTCATAGTCTAGGCATACTTATTGTAATATACATGTGAATGTAAAATCATAATTCTCACAAATATTTTTAGCAGATAACTAGTCTCATGAAGAACGGAAATCTGATTTATTTTCACTCAAAATACTCATAAAATAATTTTGAAGATATACATTATAAATTATAAAATAATTGTGAAGAAACAATCTTTTTTTCCTATTTCCTAACCCTATTTTCATTCAATTTACTGTAAATATATAGCAGTTGTTGGACTTTATGTTAAAATTGGACTTGGTATATTAAAATTTTAACATGCGAGGAAGGATTAGTAGGCATGACCATCCACAGAGTATTTTTAATCGTCTTTAAAACTTAAAATGTTTAAAATTACTGCAGTAGTACCAGCCTGTGTATATTTGCCATTAAATAAAATTATTGTAACAATATTTATTATAATGTTGCCCATAGAACCATAGAATAATTTTGGTCAGAAAAGACCTTTAAGATCATTGAGTGCAACCCAGTACTGCCAAGCCCACCACTAAGCCACGTCCCTAAATGCAACATCTACATGTCTTTTAAACACCTCCAGGGATGGTGGTTCATCCTGGGCAGCCTGATCCAGTTTTTGAGAACCCTTTTTGGTGAAGAAAGTTTTCCTAATATGCAGTCTAATCATTCTCTGACACAGCATGAGGCCATTTGCTTGTTATTCAGGAGAAGAGACCAACTCCCACCTGACTACACCCTCCTTTCAGACAGGCAGCAAGAAGGTCCCTCGCGAGCCTCCTTCTCTCCAGGTTAAACACCCCCAGCTCCCTCAGCCACTCCTCATATGACTTGTGATCCAGACCCTTCACCAACTTTGTTACCCTTCACTGGACACTCTCCTGCTCCTCAATATCTTTCTCGTCGTGAGGGGCCCAAAACTGAATATAGGACGTGAGGTGTGACCTTAGCAGTGCTGAGTACAGGGGGGCAATTGCTACTTTGATCCTGCTGGTCACACTATTTCTGATAGAGGCCAGGATGCCATTGGCCTCCTTGGTCAGTTGGATACACTGCTGGCTCATGTTCAGCCTGCTGTCAATCTGTACCCCCAGGTCCTTTTCCATCAGACAGATTTCCAGTCATACTGCCCCAAGTCTGTAGCATTGCATAAGTTTTTTGTGACCCAACAGGTTCCAAGTGCAATGTATGAATCTCATACATTAGGCCACATCCAGCTCTCCAGATCCCTCTGCAGAGGCTTCCTACTCTTCATCAGATCAACACTTCCTCCTGACCTGGTGTTGTCTGTGAACTGACTGAGGGTGCACTCAATTCCCCATCATTTCTCATTTAAAGACATATTCTGGAACCCATGAAAAGTGAAAGGAGATCAGTTTAACTGTACTGCCTAGACTGAAGACTTATTATTTATTACTAACAGCTGGACCAATTATCACCACTGAGAATTGCTGGCCACAAAAACTTCCATATGAAAAATATGTACAACCCTCCTTCCCTCTCTCTCTTTGCCAACAGAAAGAAGCTGATTTATGAGTCAGGGAGCACAGAGCATGCATGAATGCAGGACCAGAGGTCACTAATATCTGATGCTCTGCCTTCAAGTTTATTCTTTAGAAAACTGATAGAGGAAGATAGAAAGAGACAGGTAAATAAATGACTGGAAGGGAAAAGGGCTAAAAACGAACTGAAGAAAAGAGGCAACTTCCCAAAGTCAGTTGGATACAGTCAGCTGACAGCCCAGTTAGAGAGATACAGAAGAATGTCCATATAGTGAGAGTGACTTTCCTTTAACATTACAAGAATTCTTGTGTTTATGGTCTATGTATGCACACAACTAAAATAAGGAATAAGAGCTTTCTACAGGCTGATGGGGTACACAGGATTATCAGCAGCTAAGGTAATTAAAACCTAGGTAGTTGTTGCTAAGAAGTCCTGCATGGTTCATATTTTTCCCAGAAAAAAATACAAATTTGCCTTCTCTTTATACTAATTTAACAGACTTCCTTACACACTTCCTTACCTTTAACATTCAGCCTGACATGAGCCAGCTGGAACAGGTTGCATAGGGCAGGGGTGCACATTACAAAATACTGAAAGAAGAATTAAATGAAGCAGACCGAGAAGTACCATGGCTGGAACACTGGATCTGTTGAAACTTTTCTAGATGTAGAACTCCCTAGAAAAAGCAAAGAATATGGGTGAATACGTATACAGCATTTCATTCTAACTTTAAAAACAGATGACAGCAAAATGCCAATTTTTCATGCTGATTCTGCATATTTTTATCAGCTCATCTTGGTTAATGCTACTGCTGTACATAACATTCCTCCTCGTGGAACATCATGTTGTACATCATGTTCTTTAGCATATGGATTCATACAAGTTTTCAGCTGAGGAAGTCAAGCTGATTTTAAATGTAAGGTTGAACAGTGCAGTTCAAGATAATTGAATAGTGATGAAAATCTATAGACATATTTATTCACTGTTGACCATGTTGTGTATGTTTAGATGGAAAAAAAGGCTGAGCCCAGAAACCAAAGTGGAGACTGTGAAATGCCAGCTGTGACTACATTTAAAAATGTCATGGTTTTGCTCTGGGTCAATTTGCTTTTACACTCGTCATACAATTACTATCAGTTGAGAGAAGGTTTATGCAGACAAAAAGAGACTGGATTGGGAAAAAATGTATGAGTATTTATTAATAACAAGCTAAAACTAAAGAACTATATTCATAATAATTCTACTTAAGTAAAAGGTGCTATGTATTTTGCTTTCATGGAGTTAATGAGTGTCAACTCTGTTAAAAAGGAAAATGCAAAGACAGGAAAGGATCCTGTTCTGTATTCATCAGTCACAGAGTCACAGAATATTCTGAGTTGGAAGGGACCCACAAGGATCAAGTCCAACTCCTAAGTGAATGGCCTGTACAGGCATCAGCTCGTGACCTTGGCGTCATTAGCACCATGCTCTAACCAACTGAGTTAACATTCAGGACCATCACTGACACTTAGGACCATCAGTCTGTAGAGCTCATTCCATCTACTGAACCTTACTAATGAACTTGGCTTCTCATCATCCTCTAACACTTCAGAGGTAGGAAACTGGGCACTAACCATCAGAGGAAATGCACCTGTCAGTCACAGAATATTCTATAGCTGAAGTGGGTGTTACATCCCCAACTTGTTATAATTCTTCTATAATAAACTTTCTTCTAAGATTCACAGGTTGTTTGAAGCTCTTGTTGCAAGCTCTGGTTTGCAAGCTAACTTGCAATTTATTTTTTTTCCTTCTGGCTGCCAGTTCTGTGGAAACTATCAATGGCTTTTGTGTGCATTTGTCTTCATGTTAAGCATTACTTATAGATGCTTTGATCATTTCTAGTCTGACATACAGCTATTAGATAAAATTAAACATGTAATTAAAATTAGCTTACTTCAATCACTCTCAAATATTTTCTTTAAATAACATTTTAAATTCTCTCAGCTAACAAGGAATTACATGGTTTCCATTCCATAACTACAATAAATACATAAATCATTGTTAGTCCAAGTGTATGTAAGCTCATGCACAGCGTACTCTGTTTGGATGTGGCATATGTATAGGTAAGCAGCTCATGGAAATTAGTAACTTCAGTCATCTCACAAACAGAAAAAACCATGACACATTAGATGAGAATCCTATTCCTAGCTGGAACTTGCAAGACACTTGAATGAATAATATTTTGCATCGGCCTATGCAAAGAATTGCACTGTAACTGAGGTTTCAAAGTGAAATAATTGGAGGCTGTTTAGTAGAATACTCAAAAATGGTGACTGTACATTCTTCCTGAACAATAACATGCAATATGGGGGCCCCGAGAAGCAAATACAGAAATGGCCAAGAGGAATAATTTGCCTTAAAAAAATAATTTTGCCAATAATCTTTAGTAAGGAAATGGTGGATTAAGACAAAATTATGTAAGTGCATAAATTTTTTAAGGATTTTCATATATAAAAACTGAATCTCTTCTTGGCATCTTCAAAATTCTGGACTAAGTCACAACTCAGTTACAAAAAAAAAGTCAAAAGCAAGTTTTCCTGAATGACATGTATGCAATAGTTTTTACTATATTAATCTTTTACCACTTGCTCTCTTTAGTGTTCACAAATCACATTTTAGCATACATAATATACACACTGCACAGACAAGTATTTCCTTTTTATTCTTCCACTGAAGTTCATCTTCTTGTAAAATATTACTTGAAAAACTAAATTTCTGTTTTATTTTTGGAATCATAAGATGGTATAGGCTAGAAGGTACTCTCAGCTCAATACTGGGCTAACTTCAAAGTTTTCTTTGGATTCTTCACAATCAGCTCCACATCTTCTTCTTTAAGCTATTAACAATATAAATAAACAGCAATCAAGAAGTATTCATAAAAAGTTCAAATATGTATTATTTTGCATTTATCACTACCAGTGAATTTGACCAACTACAGAGTTATTCACTCAACAATATGAGCTCATAGCTCTGGTGTTTATTATTGTTATGAGTAATATCTACTGGAGAATTAAAAATGACAGCTACAGGTCCTTTAAAAAGTTCATCAGGTGGATCAGCTAGGGTATGAATCACTTATAAAAAATATTTTTACCAGGATCTTCCCACTGTGTAAACAGAATTCTGGTTGAATGTGCAGTAGGAATTTTATAAAGTGATTAGGGAAAATATTCATATTAAATGACAGCATGACAACTGTTGGTCTAACACAGGAACCAGATTACTGCAAAGGAATTGCAACTTTGTCTGTGGTGCAGAATTCTTCCTACTAGGAACTAAGCATAGCAGAGAGAAAAATCGCTGCTAACAACCTTCAGAAAAATTCATGAGGAGAGGAAAGGGGAAGTAAATAAATATAAAAATACAGGATGATTCAAAGTTAGACGTTGACTGAACTTCAAGGTCAACTAAACCAGGAAAGGCGTCTTTGAGATACTGTCAGTCAAGGAACAGAGATGTATTAGTGCTCTTCTCATAGGAACACATTAAAAGAATAAAACATTCCATAAGTTTCAGGGATGACTGCTGTGATTTAAAAATAAGCAAAAAAAACCAAAAACACCTCCCCAAAACACCACTAAAAGGCTATTTTTGTGTCAAAGTGTCTGCACTTAATAAACATACATCATAGAGATTTGTGAAATAAAAACATAAAAACCATGACTCTTCTGTAAAGCTGTCTTTTACTGTAGATACAAGCTTCCTTAGGGCAGATGCATTTTGATCTCAATGGGCAGCTCCAAAGTCACACAGCTAAGGCTGTTTCAGATGGAAGCCAAATATCTGCTAGAGCTGCTGATGGGAGTTTTGGGATGGAGGTCAGAGGGCCCAGAAGAGGAAGTGAGGTGGTAAAAGCTATCTTTGTTTACCCATTAAAACTGCATCAGTAACCCTTCAGAACAAGAAAAAAAATGGATACTACAACAGCAGGAGAAAAAGTAGGGAATTGCTTAAATAAAGAATGAAATTCTCAAATACCATAATTTACAGGTGTCCAAGAGTTTCCAAAGAAGTGAATCTCAGTCATTCTTTTAAATTGTTAATTTAAGAGAAAACAGTAAGAATAATCCCCACACTACTTTGTTTATTGCTTGATGTCTTAAATTGTGAGATTTCAGATCTAAATATTACCAACAAAAAAAGTCTTATGCCAAGTCAAATCTTTTAAAACTAATTAATGCCATAGCCTTCGAAGCTTTGAAGTTTTCTTTGTTAAGTAACAGTAATTAGCTTGCAACAGAAACTCCTTCTACCCACGGTCTCCCAAGATACCATGAGATGTCCTTGTATGAAGAGTGCTTTGTGTTGCGGTTGCTCCATTAAACGAATACTTAAACAAAAAATAATCCCTCTCAAAAGTTCAATAGATACTTGATGGCAAGTATGGTCTTCAATTCAATCATTAACTCACAAGACATTTGTCTGTAAAAGACTAATCAAAGTTTCCAGTTCCATGTGCATGTGTGCACCCATGTGTATATGCGTTTGTGGGCCTTTCGAAAAATCAAAGGAGATTTGATGTTGTTTTTATCACATGTTCAATGACAAACATTAACACAAATAAGCATGAACTTCTAAAGTAATTTCTGGAAGTTATTCTCATACTCCAATAGGCCATTACTCACATAAACACTTGGCATCTATTCCTTGTAAACACCACAGTTAGTTGCTTATATTAACTATAATTTCAGCTTACTAATCTATTGGTTATAGTGTGCCTAGATTGCTTTGAGGAAATTCAATCATTTTGGATAAAGAGTTCATGTGGTACCACCCAAACTATGGAATGTTCTTCAATACATTTTGGGGGAAATAGTGATAATGAGAGCACATCTTTAATCTTTCAACTAAAAGGTGATAAAATCAATAAAATTAAAATATATTAACAAATAAATAAATAAATAAAACTAATGAAATTAGGTGTGCTCAAGATGTTAGAGAAGGAGGCTTATTAATCAAGCAGTACTTACAAGAAGCTTTTTCCTGATGGCTTCCAGTTTTTCTGTAGCTGCTGCTAATTCAGTGTTAGCCTGAGCCAGCACACAACATTTTGGTTCTGCCTCACATTACACCTTGAAAAAGACATACAACATTGGTATATTAGACAGGAAATTGTCTCACTTTATTATAAAAATGATCAGTGACTCCTGATGAAAGACTTTCCAATAATCCTAGTAATCTTTCTTTACATGTATTTGCTTTAGATTCATCTTTCTATGCAAGAGTAGGACACACAGAGATTTCTTTTTTTATTGACTTAAAGACTACAGTAGGTTTTATTATAGTTTAAAGAAAGATGTATTAAGCAGAACTGAATGCACCCTTAGTGGGTCTACTCTCTAACTAAAGTTAATTTACATGTATCACTTTCATGGTTTTAGAATACAGGTGAAAATAAGACAGGCATTCAACTTGAGTAGATGTCAAATAAAATTGATAAGTCTTTTACTAGTTTGTAATTAAATGATAGCATGCTATAATACTAGGATGAATGGAGAACTCCTGCTGCCAGGTGCTTAAGGGAATCGCAAATGATAAGCTCTGTCTTACACTCCAGACAGCCAGACTCAGATGGATGTTTCAAGTCAAACATGTACATCTGGAGAATATTTCCCAACTGTTGCATCATAATGACAACTGAAAAGCCCTAGACAGCTACATTTTTTTTTCCACTTTCTACTAAAAATAAATACATGTGTACATACTGTTAAGCACTGAATACTTCTCACTTTAACTTGTTGTTACATTCTCCTCAGAACACTAAGCTGAGCTTTACTAAAATGATAAAAAAACTCAGTAACAGAAATTCCCCCATCAGGGCCAGTTCAAGAGGGGAACTGATATATTCATACCTCACTGAATTTTACTATATTGATGACCCAGGCACAGAGACCAGCTGCTGCAAAGGATTTTGTACGAACATAATTTGGGTTGAAATCTGCATCTTTCAAGTAATGTTCCTTGATGACTTTCAGACAATTCTGAGGAATATGCTCCTTATCATAGTTGATTAAATCTTGTGAAGAGTCATCAACCTGCAAAGAGAGAAGTTCCAGTATATATTCTGTGTCTGACTTTTAGAAAAGCAGAAGCTAAATCCTACTTTCATCACAAGTGTAAAAGTGGAATCCTCCACTAGCTTATTGTTTTAGAAATGCTATGCATTACAAAGCAAAAATACTATTACCCCAAAAAGCCTGAAATATTCACCCTCACAAACACATTTTGTGATTTTATGATCTCCTTGAGGAATTTGGCAGAGATGATATAAACATAATGAAATGCTCTCCCTGCAGTTTTGTGCTCAGCTCTAAATTCCATGTGTTCCTCATGATGAGAATTAACATTTCCTTTAAATCACCATGAAGAGTGGAGGTACCTACTTTTACCTTCATCTTTATACCTGGGAAGATCATGAAACAGATCCTTCTACAAGTTATCCTAAGGCATGTGGAGGACAGGGAGGGAATTCGAGACAGCCAGCATGGCTTCACCAAGGGCAAGTCTTGCCTGACCAAACTAGTGGCCTTCTGTGAAGGACTGACTACATCAGTGGACGTTTTCTACCCAGATTTCTGTCAGGCCTTGGATTCAGTCCCCCAAATTTTTCTCTCTAATATAAAGAGATATAGGTTTGACAGGTGGATTATTCAGTGGTTAAGGAATTGGCTGGGTGGTCACATCCAGAGAATTGTGGTCAGTGGGCTCAGTGTCTGGACAAGTGGTGTCCTTCAGGGGTTTCATGTCTTCATGGGTGACAGACGGTGGGATTGAGTGCACCCTCAGTCAGATTTGCAGATGACACCAAGGTCAGTGGTGTGACTGATATGCCTGAGGAATGGGATGTTATTTAGTAATGTAGGATAGCAGACAAGGTAAGGGATCTGTACAGAAAAGCTGGGGAATATTAGAACGGTCTTTAGAGGGGAGGCTCCGTAGCCTATGCCATTGCAGCAGGTAAGCTGCAAGTGTTTCATGATCTATGTTCAAATGCCAAAGCTGGAGCTAAACAAGAAACATATGGCAGAAAGAAAGTGAAGATTTTTACTAAGATTTTGGGAGCCATGAACTTATTTTCCTTGCTTCCCCATTTTTCCCCTTTAAAGGGGATTTTCCTTTAGAAGAGGTATAGGCAAATATATGAAATTTGTCAAACTATCCTTCATCTTTTGGCACATTTGCCTCTTTCTTTTAATTCCTCAGTTTCAAGTCTGAAACCATAGGCCTCAACAAGGGAGAGAACGGGAGAAAATATTCTATATGAAAACACTGTACTTCCTTAATTTCAGGTTTGGAAATTAAACAGACATCAGTTAAAAAAGCTTTGTCAAAACACTTATTTTGACTTAACAGAGGCTTAGATCAGCGACTATACATCAGCTAGCATCAGTTTTAAGTGAAACCTGAGTGTCTCCACAACTTTTTGCAACAATTTAATTATCTGTTTAAAAGCGGATTATGATTTCATTGCTACAAATGTATCTCAGAGAATAACTCTGGAGGGTGTTCTGTATCATTGGCAATTATGTTTTCAGAAGATTATCATATTCATTTTTAAAGATACATTGCCTGGGGCTGAAGTCAGTTATATTTGGTTCATTCTTATCCTAGTACCTCATGCTCATCTCACAGGCTCATTTCCTGTCAGGTCTTGCTTAAACAAAGTCTAATTACAGAGAAAGAGGATATTGTGTTGATGAAGATGTTAATATTTGGATCAAGCACTATGCATTGGCAGTAACAAACCTCTGTAAGAAGTTAATATCCTTACAAAACATGTTTCTACAATTGTTGCAGGCATTTTCCATGTACACATTTATTAGATAGGACACACACAGACAGTGTCTGTGGAAATAACAAAGATTAAAAATCAATATGCATTACATTATAAATGACAAGTTACTAATCAAGTTAAATATTTCCTCCATCTCTTGTGATGTAGTTTTTAGGATGTAATTCTCAATGTTTCTTGGTTTGCATCTTAGCCCCAACATATTTTTTAAATTAAATTGACACTACATAGTGCTTCTAATGTGCCATGTTTTTTTTTTCACTAAAAATAAACATCTAATGTAAGTCACACAAGTTGATTATAGTTCTGTCTCTCTTTTTTCCTAATGCTTATTTATGCTTTGCTTGCTGATGCCCAAAGAAAATATGCAACAAGATAATTGTTTTTTAGGGGAGGAAAAAATAAACGGAACAGATTGCAAATAAGCTTTAGGACAGTATTTCTCAAATCTACTACATCTCAAAAAGGGAGAAAGGAGTTTGTCATCCCTGTTTCTGGAAGTTTAGTCCCCTTCATATAAATACTGCTACAGTATAGAGCTTTTGAATGATGGCTAAATTGTTAGAAAACAGTGTGCCCTTTGCAATCAGATCATGAGTAGAGTGGCTCAAATATATCAAGCAAATAAAGAATGTACTTCAGCTGAGGGAGGTAAATAAAAAAAAAAAGCTAGTCAGTCTGGATCCATCTTTGTTCCTAATCCCCAGCTAGTGTCACTATCACACATATACCTGCTTTGCATAATTTCTTCCTTGAAAGAGGTAGGTCCTGTTTTAAAAGGCAATGGCATATCCACCTTCATCTGTAAACCACTCTGGCAGTATTCAGAGCACACAAATGGCTGGTAAAATGACAGTAGTGTAACTGCCAGCAATTTTACAACCATATCAATATCATGCTTATGGTAAGACCCTTGTTTATTACTATACAGGTATATAACTCTGCAACGTTTTTGGGAAATCCAGAGTGATCTCACTTTTCCTATGAGTATGATCTAAACTGACTTCCATTCTTAGGTATTCTTAAGATTTCATTCCAAGTCAGTACCTTCAAGGCATTTATTTGCTTAATGTTGTAAAACTCAAAAAGCTCTTGTAAACTCCAGTTTGAAATCTATAGAACAGGAAAGCAAAAGTAATTTTAAAGTGTGACACATTTTAATCAATTACGAAGAGTCTTTACAACCTACTTAGCTGGAAGATGTATTCTCATTTTCTGGGCTTTCTTTCTTTTAGTACCAATATATTATAGAAGATTAGTATTTAGAAACTATTGTCAGCCTTATGAAAGAGTTTTATGTTGTTGTAGCACAAAATGACACGTTAACTGCCATTAAAAACATTTCAGAAGTGCAATAAAGCAATGGACAGTGGAGTAGAGTAATCAACAGTGTCATGTGCTGAACTTCATCCTGGAAACAAGGTGACCCAAAGATGTGATTATCTCACAATAATCATTCTATGTGTTTCACCTAGCTGCTTAATGAACTATTTGTGGTAAGGGCGCATTTTGGTCATCCAAATCCATCAGAAGCATATGGAACCAACACAGGAAAAGCATCACTGAAAAGCGGTTGGAAGGTAGGATGCTGAGCTGTTGGATCCCTTTTGTGCAAGTTTAACTATTTGTGCTATTTGGAGTTTAAACTTCATGGCAATTTTTAAGACCTATATAAGACATGGATCAGCAAAAGGATGAAGTCCACAATTAATATAATCCAGAGAAATAAAAAGGTCCTGATTCTCTCTTCATTTATGTTGGTAGCAAAAATCGCTTTTCCCTCAAAAAATTAGGATCAGACACAAGGTCATTAGAAAGGTATTGTGTCATTTAATAATAAGTAATTAAGAAAGAAAACAGGGGAAAATGAGAGACTATTTTGATTGCTCTTACAGTATAGTCTCCTGCTCAGTATCTGGAAACTGTTTACAAAATTCTTGGCAACTTGAAGTTTCTACAGCTCAAAACCAGGCATTAAGAACTATTACAAATCATTTAAGAACTTTTCTCTGCAGTATTGATAAATGGCACAATGTACATCAGATTTTGTAGCAAAATGAGCCCTTCAGACTTTAAAGGCAGAGAAACTTCAGTTTACATCATTCCATACTGCTGGTGCTTTATTTCAAAACCATGCTTGTAACAGTAGATGGAAATTTAAGAGTCCAGGTGAAATTATGTATTTCTATTCATTCTGTGGTGAAGACTAACCCCTGTAAACCTCTGTGTTTCCAACATGGATGTCTTTAACTGAACTGAGAGCAAAAAGGCTGAACTGAGAGCAAAAAAAGGAGATTCAACACTGATGACATATATTATTAGGAACGCTATTATAATCTTAAGATTCAAGGTTTGCACCTTGCGATATTGCGAGATGCTGGAATGAACTTCTGTATCAATTGAGTTGTTCAATTTACCTAGAGCCTCAAAGCCTTTAGAAATCTGAAGTGCTAAGAGATGACTCTTTGACCTTTACTGTATTACAAATAGGTCTGATTCTCAAGATCCACATCCATTAAATGCTTGAACGAGCTCAGTATTTATTGTTCTTTCATTTCATTAAAACAGCTAAAAGGTTGGGAAAAGGCATAATGTAAAGAAAGGTCAAGTGGTAATCACGGTGTGAAACGCTGTTACATGTGTAAGTATAATAATTCTTTAGACTTTATGCTCCCTGGAGAGGAAGTTGTTCAAAACTCTTCCCCTAAGAAGGTTTATTTTGTGCTAAATATAGTTCAACACCAGAAAATAGGGGAATTAGACTGACCTTTAGCTCCTCTGCATCTGCAATGGCCTTTTCTTGGTTCACTTTCCCAGTCTGAAAACCTATCTTAGCAATCAAAGCTTCAGTATCTTGATTTTTCAGTTGCAGTTCCGCCTCTTGAGAAGGAAGCTTGGATTTTTGATCTTCTACCTACAGGGCTAAAGATGATACATTATTCAGGTCATTAGCCATAGTTCTGAAACCCAAAAGCTGAAGTCAAAACAAAATTCATGTTTTGTGGGTCTCTATCAAAAGCGTTGTCTTTTCATTTTTTAGTTTTCATTTGTACCTGACAGAATTTTATTGACATTAAAAATTTAATAATGACAGCCTAACTGCTCCCGTCAGGGACCCCACAGCTCACCCGAAGTGCTCAGGTGTCTGTCCTGCTGCTCAGCTTGTGGTTGTAACCAGGTGTCTCAGGGGTGCAAAAAAGGCACAGCTGCAGCACCTAGCAAAGGCAGAAGGACATTACTGAATATGTTTAGTATTCACTCTGGGCTGATAATTCCAGCAGAGGTTTGCTGGAAGGTTAAGACAATGTCAGAGACTACTGAACGAAGACTACCTGTTAGTCTGCTGAAATAGCAATTTATTGCCTGCCAGTAGAGAAACATGTACCAAAATATCCAGTGACAATATCTTTTCACATATAAAAGAATTGTTTCAAGTAACTGGGGGTTTGGCTTGTTTTTTGTTTTTCTGCAATCTCTCCAAGCATTTTATCTGACAGTTATTCATGATAACAGGCTATATTTTAACCAGAGGGATTTTATTAACCTAATCTGCTTAGAGATGATAAGACAAAGTGAAAGACAAATGTTAGAGGGCTTACACTTCAATAATATCAAAGGTCTTGAGGACTCTTCTGATTTGGTGGCCTCCTGAAATCCTACAAAATCTACAAAATTACCCTTTTAAAAATTTGACCATTTTGAAATGAGAAGACAAAGCTGTAATACTGAGTTGTAACAGATCCCAAATCTCTCCACTCACTTTATTTATCAATTTATTTGAGCTGACTTTATGTCTTTTTCTTTATGAAAAATACTAAACAGTGCTGCATTTGATATTCTTGTGTAGAACTCCTCAGTGCAGGGTAAAAAAGCCTCACTGTTTAACTGCTTGGCTAGTTGGGAGCTGTGGGTCTGTCAACCAGCACAGCATGCAGCACTTGAAATTGTCAAATTGCCATTTGGTCATCACCAAATTAAAACTCAGAGAAAAAGAGCATTTCAATAATTTACTATCATGGGATACCTTATTAAAAACAGACTTTAAAACCCAGCCACTCTTTTCTGTTGACTATTTTTTTTGCAGCTGACAGAATGGGAATAAGCCAGCCAGCTCCAATTATTAACCTCATGCAGTAGCATCAAGATGCAATGTTATGCAAAGACTGCAAATGAGAATTTCATTTGCATAGAAACACACAGATTTTTTATTTTTAATTATGAAATCACTGGATTATTGCTTATCTTCAGCATTGGCAAAAAGGGTTATGAACATGTGAGTGGGTGGGGTGGCAGAAAGGCTTCCAAGCAGTTTCCCCTCCCTTCTGTCTTCGTGGACTGACCAACCATAAATGAACTGTAAGCAGAAGCACTAACTGGGGACTAAGTGGCACTAGCCTTACAAGGACGTGACAACAGCTGAGGGAAAGGTTTTGTACTCATTCCTCCTGCTTTCATTACCCCTCAGCTTGTCACTGGCCATGCACAAAACCCTCACACATGGAACTGCATCTTCTCTATCCACGGGTTTAGCTTTTACTGTAGCTCCACTATATTATCCCTCCCTCCAGACTTTGTCCTTGCTTAAATGGATGGTACCCTCTTTCCAGAGACAGCTAAACACCTCCAAGAGCTTCTTTGCAAAAAAAAAAAAACAAAAAACCAAAAAAAAAACACCCTCACAAAGTCCAGTTTTCTCCAACCATTTTGCATACAAATTAATTAATTTTGCACTGGCATTCATTAAGTCTTGAATCACAGAATATGCTGAGTTGGAAGGGGACCATCAGGAAGGATCACTGAGTCCAACTACCAGACCTGTGCAGGACACCCCAACAATCCCACCATGTGGCTGAGGGCATTGTCCAAATGCCTCTTGAGCTCTGTCAGGCTTGGGGCCCATGACCACGTACCTGGGGAGCCTGTTCCACTGCCTGACTACCCTTTGGGTGAAGAACCTTTCCCATCACCACAGAAGCTCAGTGCTTCAACATACTCATGTATTTTTGGATAAATACTCCTAACAGCTAAAACCAGAGATTTAGTCAGTTATTATACCACTATATGCAGGTATACTAACCTATGAACTTTCTGCTTTACCTCTGGAAATCCTGTCTAAGAGAAATCCTATATAGGTTAAAGAAACACAATGAAGTGGTTGCTGTAATCACACTGGTTCCCACATACTTCATATATCATCAAATTGCTCTTTGGAGTGGACTGCATTCTTGCCATTAACTTCAGATTGAACAGGACTGGACATCATGATTTAGATTTTTGAAGTTTTACAAGTCACTGCTTATCTGTGCTTGTCAAAATCAGTGATAACTAACAAATTGTTATGAGGGTAGGATTTAGACCACTGTGGAGTGCTTCTGAAAGTTGAGTCTCTACATACCATAAAATGCCAGAAAATCAGCAACATTTCTATGCTGAATTGACCTCTCAGTTTCAAGGGGTATCTGACCAGAAAAGTAGTTATAACTAAATGGCGTTCAGATTCACTCCAAGCTGTGTCAGTTGACACTTCCTCACGTGCCACACAGACATCCAGCCACCAAATATAACTCCAGTTCCAAGCTTATCTCAGCATGCTGCAGAAAAGATCCCAGAGCGTTCCTGTGGCTCTGGGCGGGCTGTGCTGGGTGCCACACAACACCACATGAGGTTTCTCTCTCATCATAGGGACAAAAATGCAGCTATGAGACTGGAAATTTCTTTTGATGCACTGTGAAAATCAAAACAGGCTAGACACATTTAAAATAGCTCCAAATGGTCATTTAGGCATGTATTTCTGAGCAAAATGCAGAGATAAAATGCCTGTCTTTATTTACCTCTGACAGCAAGAAGAAAGGTAGTTCTAGGATTATAGTTCAAAGGTCCTTTTTCTAAATTTTTTGAGTACTGAACTAGCAAATACAGAGTATACTTCCCCAGAATAAATATGAAATAAGAAACCCCCAACATTAATTTTTTTTTTGCTTTAAAGGATCCTATTCACTTATATTTCTACAATACATGCATATATGTGCCTTAGCAAGAGTACTGTATGCAAAATTAACAGGGAAATACTTAGAAAACCCATTTAACTCCACCACTGTAACTAACTTTCATTTTGTCCTCTATGACTTCCAGCATACTTAAACTTTATAATTTGTGGAGTCACATCTCCCTCATTTTAATGATTATTTATTGCATTCTGTACAAGACGAACACAGTTCAATTAATCAAGGGAAGCCTAAAAATCAATTAATATGAATTAAATGAGCTACACCAACTCTTTGGAAAGTCACACATAATTTACCAAAGCATTGTCAATAATGCTTAGGGAACTTTGGGAAAATTGCTCATGAGTGGTTGTTGATGCAGTTAGATGTTTTAAGCCTACATCATTAATATTACAATCAGGTTGATGCAGAAAGACTTGCCATTTTTCTCAGTAAGAAAACTCATTATTTTCTTGTGACTTTTAAGAGCTAGTTTAGAAGAATGCTTATTTCACCTATGATTACAAAAACAGAAATTAAAACAAGAAATAAATAAAGAATGATTTGCATTTAGGGAAAACAAATAAATTACTTTACAAATAAAAAAAAATCAGAACATCATTAGTTGAAGCAAAGTAGCATAAATTCATCTTTAAAAAATTGTTTGTAAAAGCAAGGCTAGTCAGCAGGAATAGATATTTTATGCAGATTTGAGCAGCATTTAGCTTCCAACTGAAATTGTGTTTCAGCCTTTTTCTCCTTTTTTCATTGTTTGTGACACATACACACCCTGCAGTACAGCTCTTCCCAGTGAAAGACAACCTCCTTACACATGATCCTTATGAGAGGTCTCTACTCAGCAGCCCTGAAAAGCCCTCTAACAACAGTCTCATTTGTAAATCAGTGAGGGACGAAGTGGGTTCCGGTAGAGCTGGAAGTGGCCCGAGACAACTTGTCTCAATGGGGCAAAATAACTATTGTTATCGAGCTTAACAAAATGGCACAGCATGGGAGACACGCTGAGCCAGAGAGCAGCTGGTTGTAATTCACACTGGTTTTCAGAAAACACTAATCGTTCCCGAACAGACCTCTTTGAGGATTGGTCTTCCCTGCATTTTCAATTTGTCACTTTCTCTTATGATAAGGTCAGCGGTGACAGCACTTCCTGACATTAACAGCTGTGGCTTTTAAAAGGGTCATTGTGGAACTACTAATTGCAGTAATTTCATTAGCATAAATTATTTATTCTGCCATTCATTTATCTCCAGGATTTTTTTTTTTTTTTTAATACTACATTGTACTTTTCAATATATGCCCATTCAGGGTTGTAGGCAAAGGAAATTATTATTGCTAATTTAGTTTTCTTGATTGAAAAAAAAGCAAACAAAAAAGAGTTGATACAGTAACAAAATCTGATTTAACCACAATTCTCTAGAAACCATAAAGTAGCTTGAAGCCAGTAATGAAGCTTAGACTGGTACAAATCAAAACCATTTGTTAGTCCAAAAGACAACTGAGCATTAAATCTATATACATTCTGAAAGAAAATATAACAGGTGAAGTCTGTTTGTTCTTATTCAATCTCTCTACTCTAGGCCCTGGCTGACTGACTCTAAGCATGCAAAAAAACCCCAAGGCAAGTTATGAGTAGTTTAAACAGGAATTTTGCCTGCATCCTCCCTATATCTTTTCTCAGGACGTATAATAGTCATCACTATCATACATATAAATCTTTGCAGATAAGTTGAGCTAGCTGAAACATGTCATGCAAAGAGTAAAAAAGACCAATGTCACTAAAAATGAACACATCTCAAGGGCAGTTATCAAAACTGAGAAAAAAAGCCAAACCAGAAGAAAAGGCAAGGGGAGTGGGTGGGCAGGCAGGGGGGAGTTTGAGGCAAGGGGAGAAGGCAAAAGTATTACTCCAGGCTGCTTCTTTGCCACACCACATTCTGTAAAGTATTTTGGAATATGATAAACTAAGCACATAATTAATTTATCCTTGGTATGCTCAACAGTGTATGCTGTTTGGTGCTAAGCAGCAGAGAGGCAGCATAAAACACAGCAAAAATAAAATACTCAGAGGAGATGTACTTGGCTGTTATTTTCAAGAGGTGAATTAAACAACCCTGATTCTTTTATTCTAGACTCAGTGTTAATGTCTGAAACCAGCTGAAAGTAAGAAAGGGAGGTTACCTGTCATATTGAATTTGGACACAGATTATTTTAAAATACTGTAGATTATTTTAAAATACTGTAGATCACGTTTTATATCAAATGAGGTATAAAGGCATCTTTGTAGATTTGTTAAGCTCGGTACACAGATTTCAAAGCTGCTACACCCTGTTCTTTTCTTGTGCTCTTTTAAAATTATGTTCAGCAATTTGAGTACTGAAACAGAAGAGGGCTCTTTTCCTCTCTTCTCTCCCAAGAAATCAAAGACATCAGAATTGATTAAATTTCTGATACTCTCTATTTCCCTTCAAATACCTCTGAACTCACTGTTTCTTTTCCTTAACCCACACATTTACCAATGTCCTTCCAGGTGAAAAGGATCTCACAATGTCTATTTTCAACAGGCACCATAATTAGGGAGGATCACTTGTTCTTCCTGTTCAGATACTTTCACACAGGGAAAAAGGGATGTTCACAATACCCTTCATCAAGCATACTGACACTGTAGTTCACCATCTCCCTGCTGACCTCAATCTACCCCACTTCTTTTCCTGGATAAACTGTATATTCCAGAAAAGTAATAGGTTTGAAGATAAAGAGAGAGAGAAAAAAAACATAAAACTTGAAAACCAAAAACTTCCTTCTCAACTCCCACAATCACTGTGAGTTTTTATGATTTTCCCTCACCGTTTAAACCCAGAAATTTCCCAGTTTTTGCCAAAGCAATTTAAATAAGATATCGTATTTGTAATGGACTCTTAAGGGAAAAAAATCATTAGCTTAATTTCCAGGTACCCTAATTAAAAACAATCTGTAATATTGTTAAACATCAATAAACAAAAAGTCCCCAATCAATTACTATTGCTCTTTTTTTTGAAACCGTGAAAAGGAAAATTAGGAGCTAAGAGTCAATTGTGTCAAAATAGTCAGTAATAGACCTCACCTGCTGATCAATCATACAGTATTTTATAGAAGCCCAGGCACATGTGAGCCCTAGCTAACATGATTTCTCTACTAAGAATAAAGGCTTTCCTGAAGTATTTAAAAAGGATATTAATACATCAGCAGTAGAGAGAAGGAGAGGAGACCACCTCTCATAAATCTTTGATGGAGAGAGGATGTCAGACTTTGGATAAGATTCCCTCTTCTTTAGGGTGGTTTTTTTCCACCCAGCCTCTCTCATTCTTTTGATATTCTAATACATCTCTGCAACTGTCCAGTTGCCCCTCTTTCTACTAACTGTTTTTCTGTGGTCCTTCTCGCTTCACCTTCCTTTTACTCCTCCCCAGACTCCCTGCTGTAAACCTCTCCCACCGTTCTGGTTCAGTTTTGCTTTTTTTCCTGTCTCTCACTTCTTAGTTCCCCGTCTCTCCCCACCTGTAACATTGTCATAGTTTCTCTGTTATTACAATGTCTCTGTTCTGAGTTCCCTTTTCCCATCACTTTCAAATCTTTCCCTTGCCTCATCCTAATATTTTTTTCAATTCTGCTATCTTGTCTGTTGGTCTTCTCATAGGCTGCACATGCAGACAGGATCCAGGCACCCTGTACTGCTTTACGCACATTGATGGCACAGAAACCTTAACTCGCTTTCAATAAAGTGTCACATTATTTTGTTAGCCGACATTTATGTCACCTGCTGGGAGTCAAAAAGGAAAGATATTTACCAGGAGCAATTAACACCAGTGTTAAAAAAGAAACTCATCAACAGTTGCTAAGATCAGTGAAATATTTCCTAAGTATCTAAAAAAATGAATTATAGAGGAACATAGTGTCTTATTATTTTATAAAAACTTTAAAGGTAAAAACCCTGTTAATCAATATATTATACATTAAATATACTGTATTATGAA